GCAACTAAAGCTTGAGAAGTGGAAGAAGTCCTTTGAACACTCAAATTCTTCAATTCAGCAGTGATTAAAGAGAGATGAGATGTGATCTTGGATTCGAGAGAATCCACCTTGGTTTCCAAAGAATTGATTCTCTTAGCATGTGCAGTTGAAAGTCCTAGTTCTTGCATAGCTCTTGCATCTCTAGGCCCATATTGTTGGTGATTCAAGGCCATCTTTTTAATCAAGCCCCATGCCTCTTGAGCAGTTGAGTCAATTAAAGACCCTCTTGATGCAGCATCTAGCATACCTTTCTCTTGATTTCTTAATCCATCATAAAAATACTGCACCAGTTGTTCCTCCGGTATCTGATGGTGCGGGCATCTTGAAAGAAGATCTTGAAATCTATTCCAGTAGTCATACAGTGACTCATCATAGTCTTGTTTGGCTGAATAGATCTCTTTTCTCATTGATGAAGTGCGAGAAGCCGGAAAGTATTTCTCTAAAAATGCTTTCCTTAAGTTCCCCCAACTGTGATAAGCATCTGCCACATGTCTTGGAAGACTCATATACCATTCTCTAGCTTTTCCTTCCAACGATAAATGAAAGACCTTCCATAAGACTTGGTCCAGTGATGCTCCCACAGGCTTCATACTCTGACACACCATAGAAAGAGATTGCAAATGGAGGTATGGATCTTCTCCTGACAAGCCATGAAACTTTGGAAGTGAGTTAATTAATAAACCTTTAATTTCAAAGTTTACTTCAAAGTTAGGGCAAGCAGCAGTAAAGGGATCAAAATTAACATCAGATGTTGTGGCTTCCCTAATAGTTCTTCTTCTAGGGTTGCCATTATTCTCTCCAACTCTCTCATGCTCTCCATTTCCTCCATTACCACCATTTCTAAGTTGGTTACTATTGGGGTTAGGGTTGGGTGGATTAGGTGGGATGTCGGCCATTATCTCTTCGTTAACTGATTCACTCTCACTACTAGAAAAACTAGACTCTAGAGAGATATTTTCTTCAACTATTACCTCACTTGTCCCCTCAGCTCTCTTTTCTTTTCTTATCTTCCTTAAACTCTTTTCAATCTCAGGATTATAAGGTACAAGTTTGGTCTTTCGGGGCATACAAGAGAGTAACTCAAATCAAAATAGAAGAAAACAAAATTGACCTGAAAAGCACACAAAGCCAAATAAAAAGATGAGATGTGATGAATGCAAGTGTGTGAAAATATGTATAAGATGTATGGTATGGGTGGTAAGTGTGTGTATGAGGTGTGTGCATAAGAATAAATGAAAAAGAAAAAGATTTTTTTTTTTTGAAAACGGTGCAGGCGCCGCGGCGGATTTGAAGAGGCGCCACGGCGGATTTCACAGAATCAAATTTTCTATGTGTTGGAGGCAGGCGCCGCGGCGGATTTGAAGAGGCGCCACGGCGGATTTCACAGAATCAAATTTTCTATGTGTTGGAGACAGGAGCCGCGGCGGATTTGAATAGGCGCCACGGCGGATTTCACAGAACCACCAACAGTAACAGCGAAAATTCAGAAAAAGTTTCAGATTAGATGCCAACTTGAATTTTTCCAACAACCAAAGTTCTAAACCAATCAAAATAAGTTCCAAGAAGTTAAATACACTTGAATATGAATACTTTTCATGCAAAAACCCTTGGATACAAAATTGAAGATATTAAACCAAAATTTTTCTCTATACACTCCAAAACTTTAAGTTGTCAAAATCAACTTTGAGCAAATGAGTTCAAAACCAATTTCCTAATGTGAACACCTTCAAAACCAATTATAAGTGACTTGGAGAGATGGTGTGTGCATCTAAATGGATTTAAAACCAAAATTGCACATTCACAAAATATCAAACCACAAGTTAAAGCAACACAACCAACTATTCAGCAGCAACCAAGCCAAGAAACCAATTGGTGCAAGAAAAACCAATCAATACACCAATGGAGAGCCAATGCAAAATGCAAAGTATGAACTTATATGCAAGAATGCAAGTATGAAAAGTAAGAAAATCAGGATTTTTGTTTGTATTTCTCAAAATTTTGATGCTAGGCAGAATGAAAACCTATATTATGAATAAATATGCAAATAAACTACCTAAATGCAACCTAAAAAGGCTCTTAACCCTAGTCAACAATGAGTTGACACAAGTTAACCTAGGGAACCAATTTCTTGGCTCCCCGGCAACGGCGCCACTTGAAATGTGACCTGTCTTGCTTACACCTTAGGGTCAAATTCAAAATTAAAACCAAGGATTGTACTATAGGCACAACCTCGGGTCGTTTCACTTGTTGGAGCCTTAACTATTGATCCTAAGTTAACTAAATGCCATGAAAATGCAAATTGACTAGGGTAAAGTTGGGGGTTTTCATTAAAACTATTAATTGAGATAAAATGCAATGTAAATATATTTTTGGATTTTTGGGAAATTACGATGGAATGAATGGGAAACAAGTATTGAAACAGTTGATAAAACCTCTTGAAAATGGACCTTTGGCAATCATAGCTCAAAATGATTTTGGGGAGTAAAAATCACCAAGTTTTCTAAAGGAAAAACCTTAAAGAACCCTTCAAGTCTAGGATCTTAATCAATGGCCACCCATCTTATAAGATCCTATTAAGCTTACTTAGTGTGTGTATTAAGATTAATTAATGCACTTGGTTTAATGCAAGCCCAGATTAACTCAACAATCAAACAATACCATGCAAGAAAGAGAGTATCAAAAGAGTTGCATAGAAACATATATGTAACCACATATATTGAAGCTCAAATTCAACATTAACTAATCCAATACACAAGATAATCATCCAGAATTGATTACAACCATAATCAAAACAGTTCAGCCCCAATTTACGAATCCTAAGACCTAGAAATTTATAAATAAACAACTAGAACTATGGATGAAGCTAACTCCCCTTTGAAGCTCTTGGAACTCATGCCAATCAACCATCTTCAAGAGTTGAAGAACCCCTAGCCCTCCATCACTCCAAGCATTGCTCCAACCGGCAACAATAGTTGAATCTCCATGGAAGAAGAGGTTATGGATGGATTAAAGGGAAATATGATGGAATGTAATGAAGAATTGGTGGAATGAGGAGATGAGAGGATGATTCAGCCAAAGAGAGGTGAGGAGAGACCGAATGAGGCTTCCCTCGGTTGAAACTCAGCTTATACTGGTTACTAGAGGTGGTTTGGGGTCGGGTTGAAGCTTAGGGATCCGAATTAGAATGCTGAAATCGCGACTTTTGCAATTCTGACAAATCCGCCGCGGCGGATTTGTCCATCCGCCACGGCGGATGGTACCTTTCAGCCAAAACGCAAAGCTTCATTTACTCAGGGCCTCTGGTGTAATTTCTTGAATTCTGGGACCTTTTCTGCTATTAATCCGGTCTTTTACTACCTTTAATGTTGGGACTAAAGTGTGATTTCCAAATTTGCCCAAATTTCTCCCAAAGTACCTACAAGGAAAATCATACATAATATAGCATCAATTATCCTAGAAATCAATTAATAATAATTAATCTCCAATTATGACAATTTTGCCCCTATTATGCACTAATTCAAGGTAAGGCACTTTAATATAATTTAAGCACAATAAACACTAAAAGAGCTACTAATTATGATAAAAACCCTTAAAATGATATGAAAAGACAATAAAGAGTTGGGTTTAATCACTTTCCCAACCAGAATTCCCCTTTCTGAAATTTCCAAACTCACAAAGGTTGATATTATCCTTTTCTTTCAATTTGTCACACATTTAGACATCACAAATTAATATAGTCTTGCCATTATAATTCAGATAATTATTGTCTCTTCAGTTAATCACATATATATCACATTCACCAAATTAGTCATTAATCATACACCTATATATTAAATTTAATTATAAATTTATTTTCTACCTAAATAGGAAAGTCAAATTGTCACCAAGGTCACCATCCAGAAAGTTGAGAGTGAGTATGGTTGGACCTATGATAGATGTCCATGCGATAAAAAACTAGTGCATGTTGATGATAAATTGATGAAGTGTACTTCTTGTAATCAAGAAGTGCTTAAGACTGAACCCAAGTACGTATAAAGTTATTCATTGTCATTGAAGTCCATACTTCATCTCCATCGTTTATATAATTAGTTGTTCATTTGTAAAAGGTTCAAAGTCCATTACAAAGTATTTGATTCCACTGGACAATGTTCGATGCTTTTCTTCAACCGGCATGCATCTGCTCTATTAGAATGTTCAGCTTCTGAACTTAAGAAGAAGGTATCATGGGTTTATACCTTTGGATGTTGTCATTCTTAGTCTAAACTGTCTTGCTGTCATTTGAATTATTTTGTTGATAAATTATGATATCAGGTGGGGTCGTCTCGATCTTTTCCAAAAGAGTTAGATCGACCTGTTGGAAAGGAAATTGTCGTAATGGTCAAGGTTAAGGAAAACAACATAAAATATCCTGCCAGTAGTATGGGAGTGTCACAGTTCTCTGTGAAAAAGGATATTTTGGATCAGTTCACATACTCTAATGTCAGCGCTGATGCCAACGCTAATGTCAAGGTCAGGAGACTATAATCTATTTTAATTGGATTATTAAATTCTACATGTCATAGCATATTTTCCGGCGTCATTCTTAATAGTTCGTTCAATTATTTTACCATACCATCATCATTCTCCATCACATTTTTCAAAAATACCCTTAATTCTCTTCCCACTATTCTACTGGACAGAATTCACCAATCGAGTCATCTTCCTCATACTCATCTCCCAAGATGCTTGGCACTCACAACATTGCGGATGATGATGATGATCTTACAATATCTCAGATAATCACACCTGTGGAGACCTTGTCAAAGAAAAAGAGGAACGGGAAAAATGAATCAGAACAACTTGATGATATAGGCCTCTCCGAAGGGTCCCCTCCAAGCTTCAGCAGCACCAAACCGGCAAAGAAGATCAAGAAGGAGAAATGACTAGCTATATCTGAAGTTGTTGAGCAAATTAACGATTATATGTGTTCCTTACTACCTACTGAAGTTGTTGAATATTTTAGCTCTGATTCTGTTAGTACTGTTGATCAAGGCAACACCTCATTCCAAGAGTTGTATACAACAGAATTCTTGAACACAATAAAATGCTCTGGCTTACCTCCACATAGACTTGCCTTGAAAGTAGGAGTTCCTATAATGCTCATGAGAAATATAGATCAGGCTGCAGGACTCTGTAATGGCACAAGACTGAGGATCACATTTCTTGGTAAACACTTTATTAAAGCAATCGCTCTCAATGGCACAAGTCAAGGTCAAGAAGTTTTGATCCATCGAATGGATATGAATCCATCAGAATCTAAACTACCATTCACATTGATAAGAAGGCAATTTCCCATCATCCTATCATTTGCTATGACAATCAACAAGAGTCAAGGACAATCAATGACCAATGTTGGCCTATACCTTCCTAGACCTGTCTTCACACATGGCCAGTTATATGTTGCTCTGTCAAGAGTTAGATCTATGGATGGCATCAAAATTCTAATACTTGATTCAGAGAAAAAGCCAACCAACAAGACGATGAATGTGGTCTATAGAGAAATATTTCAAAACATTGTGTGAAGCTCATTGGTAATTTATCCCATACATGTGATTCATTGTTAACTCTAAATGCCTTTCTACTTGATTGAAATTATGTACTTTATATCTTACATTCATTAATTTCTTCTGCATATTTCTACAGTGATGGCTACAACATCTTTCCAAGATGATCAGCTGGAGATGACACTATTCCACTACCAGTCATGTATCTCAACCTAAGTGTAAGTCAATGACACCTACTAAGAATTTTTAGAAACTAATGTGAATAGTGCTTTCTCCCAAGTTGATCAAACTACTTTCCTTACCTTTGTTGTTAATGATTAAAAAAAAGGTTCTTCATTTATTTCCTAAGCTATGACGCAATTCATTACATTAAAAGTTTCAAACAATAGATATTCTACATATGAAAAATCAAATTACAAATTATCTTATTCAATGGATTGATTCACAGGAAAGCAAATATGGTCGCTGATTGGGTCGCCATGTGTCCTTCTTTATTGGGTGATTAAACCTCCACTGCCTGTGTCAAAATTATTACACTTTGATTTTAAAAGAGACGCTATAGTGACAGGATGAAGTTATTGTTGTTTGTTATCTTAATTTCTTTCATTATGACATTAAATCTTTTTCGATTTTACAAAATGTGAATATTACCTCATGCTTCAATTCATACTTTTCCATTTTCAATTGCTTTTATGGTTGATACTTCTCAGGATATCACTTCCCGTGCAACGCACGGGGGAGAAATCTAGTTACTTAAAAATAATAATCAAAAGATTAGTGTTTCTAAAATACATATAGCTATAAGATTCTCTATCTTCTAGTGATTATATTCAAAGTTAGTTTGAGCACTAAATAGAGCTAGGAATCAGGGCCGACCCGGCCCTCCAGGGCTGAAATTTTAAAAATACCCCAATTTGCTAGGCCCGGCCCTTAAGCTACAGGGCCAGGGCCGGCCCGCGGGCTTTTGGCCCATTTAAGAAAAAATATTATTTTTTATATTTATCATATTTTTTTTATAAAAATATAAAAATAAACCAATAAAATTATTAATAAAAGACATAAATATGAATAAAATTAAGTCACAAATATAAAATATTATCATATATAAATATTTATCAACATCTAAGAACATCTGAAACGTTCATTAATAAGATAACAACATTAAAAGTTTTATCTATAATGCAATTGTGCAATAAATAAACACTATCATTAATATTTTGAAACTTCATCATCACTATAATTAATTATTTTTCTTCATAAGTATGCTTTTCTTTCGTAACAAAAATATCAAGTTTTTCTTCTTTATAAGAATTTTATTTTTAAATTTTGCAATCTAACTATTATTTTACTTTAATGTGAGAAACATTGTTGTTGAAACTCATGAATTTCTAATTCAAATTATAGAATCACAAGTTATATAAGTATAAAAATATTCTATTATCAAATATATATATATATATATAGTTTAAAAATATCAAAGCATATAAGATAAATCAAATCATTATTAAAGTCCAAATTAACCCATTTTTTAAAAATTTAATTGGATAAATTATTATCTAAAACTAAATTTAATTTTAAAATGATAATAATAACTAAATATTTGAAATATTATTAACAATGTAAAAAATTAATAACATTAATATTATATAAAAAATTAAAAAAATAAAAAAATAATAAAAGGGCTTAAAATGGCCGGCCCGCGGCCTTTTAAGCCCTCGGCCCTCCAGGGTTTATTTCTCATTTTAAAAGAAAAATATCAAGCCCGACCCTCATAATTTCAGGGCCTAAAAGGGCCAGCCCGACGGACTCGGCCCGTTTTCCCGGCTCTAGCACTAAGTGATGTTTTAACCCTTAACATAGATCATTATTTGGGCTATTAACTCATTGACAATTCAAAAATTATATTGATTATAAGATTCAGAAGACTTACATATATATTTAGTGTCAGGTCAAAAAGCTTGTATGCTTAGTGTACTAATTTCTTATCAAATCAAACGAGTGGATTTTTAAACTAGAAAATTCACTAATTTGACTGAAGCCCTACTTAAATCATAATTTTGACTGATTTCGTTTTGGGAGAGAACATTTGAGGTTTTGAGCAGCTTCATTATTTTGACTGGTAATATAAATAATTCTGGAGTATAAAAATTTCAAAACCTCGATTGGATCACTGTCTTGCTATGGAATAATCAATTTCATTTTTCATTGACCGAGAAAATTAAATAAAGGTTATATAAAAAATAAATAAATCATGAAAATCGTACAACTAATTATTCAATATTTTCGTGTTTGAAGGAGAGATTTGAAAAACTTCAACTTGACTAAGCAATTAATTAATTAAATAATTCAAAACCGAAACTAGCAATCCAGATTTCAGATTCATTCAGATCTTAAAGCATTTGTTTTATTATAAAAATAATCGATTCAATACTCCATATATGTGACCAAGAAGTTAACGTATTATTATTTTTCTTAAATATTAATAGATCAACTAAAATACACGAAACAATTAGTTTGACATTCAATTTGATCCCAAATATAAGATTTTAATCTATTTTATCTCTTATTTTTATTCTTTTTTTTAAAAGTAGTCCTTATAATAGTTGCACATATTATGTTTTAAGTGATAATTGTAACTAAATAACATAATTAGTAAGGGTATTTTAGAAAAGACAACACATATTTATTATAAATAACTAAATTAATTTTATTAATTTATTCAAATTAATCAACTAGTTTTTATATTAAAGACCGAAAGTAATATTATTCTCTAAGAGTACTCTTCTGGTCCTATTTATAGGGCAGATAGAGAAGATATTTTTTGGTCATATTTATAGGGCCTTAAGAAAAATTTTTTATATAAATATTCAATTTTATCCTTTATTTATTATTATGTTGACTTTGTTGACATAAAGTATAACGTATATTAAATAGAAATAAGATAGAAAAATTGTTGGATTTTAAAGGAAAATTAATAAAATTTAAGGTTTTTCTTAATTTATATAAAATATGTTGAAAGTGACTTATAAATATGAGCATAAGAATAGGAATAGTTATTAAGAGTAAACTATTTTCGAGAAACTTGGACTAACCATTAAATTAAATCGCACTTTAAATGAATTTGAATTCAATTTAACGTTTTCGTTACGCCATGAGAATCCATCAATATAATAATCATTGACAGTCTAACTTGATAGGTTCCAGTAAACATAAAACTGTTACCCACCAGCTAAGTGGATAATCCCTTAATTCCTCGTGTCAATTGCCTAATTTTTCTTGTGAGGCCACTACAGATCAGATTCCAACAAGTATGAATTCCTGTAATGCATATGATTAATTTACTGACTCTTCATGTAAATTCCCTAATTTGATAGGTTCCAACAAACATGAAACTGTTACACATCAACTAAGTGGATAATCCCCTAATTCCTCATGTCAATTGCCTAATTTTTCCTGTTAGGCCACTGCAGACTAGATTCCTACAAACATAGTAGATGATTTACTGACTCTTCATGTAAATTGCCTAACTTGACAAGTTCTACCAAACATGAAACCGTTACACATTAGCTAAGTGAATGATCCCCTAATTCCTCCTGTCAATTGCCTAATTTTCTTTATGAGGCCACTACAGATTAGATTCCAACAAATATGGAGGGTAATTTACTGATTCTTCATGTAAATTACCTAACTTCACATATTCTAGCAAACATGAGGTTCTTACATACAAGTGGTTATTTAACTAATTCTCCACATCAATTGACTAACCATCATTGTTAGCCCACTAAATGTCACATTCCAATAATGACCGCGATAAACTAAAGAAAACAAACTCATTTGCCTAATCTATACGACAACAATTGCCCCTCCTAATTCTTTTTTTAAGTCCTACAAAATGCCTACAAATACTATAGCAATACAGTTAACTACCAACACTAATTTTTCCCTTCATCATAAATTTCATACTTAACTCCCACACAAACTCTTAACGGTACACTCACAAGCCTTCTCTCACTAAATCAGAAGGATTTGCTAAAGGGCAAAAGGGGTGACGGTTGAACACTATGTGAGACATTGGTAACCATTCCTCGGTTAGAACCCAGATGTCATTGCCAAACACACCCACCTTTCAATGGGTCATTCTTCCTTAACCTACCATGAAAATAAAATCGAACAAATCTACTACATTTAATGTGGACCACAAAGCTTACCAAAGGAAATCAGTGACTTCTTCTCACCCTGCTTCTTCCTTCGTTGCCAATAGCCTTGCAAGTTTCCTCCCTTGTCCGCCTCGTCTTGTTCTCCTTCTGGTTGTAGTGACTACCACCAACCCACAGAATGAGGGTGACGGAATTTTTAGGGGGCACGCCAACACTTTTCGCATATTGCAAGAGGCAAGAATCTTTCCACAATGATAGCACGTTTGCAAGCAGGAGATGATAGATTTTTCACAGAGTGGTAGCACGTTGGCAGACCGAGAGAGGCAACAGTTTTCCCAGAGTGGTTGCATGTTCGCAAAGCGGGAGAGGGAAGAATTTTTGCACAGTGGAATCACCTTTGCATAGAGAGAGGGGGGGAGGACTATCTGACCATCATATTTTGGCCCTTATTTTCAAATTTCAGGGAAGTTTAATGAGGAGCAACAACGTCATTTTGTTTGTGGAATTAATATCATATTGGCCCCTTGATCTTGCAGTGAGATCTCAGAAAGTTTTAGGGGCAGTTTAAAATTGTGTACTGTGGTCCTTAAACGAAATTTTCCCAAAATTAAATCAATATCCAAAAAGGCAGACCATGTGAAATGTGTGTGTATAAATATATATACATACACGCACTACCTCTGGTCTTTAATAGAAGACTTCATTTGACTTTTATTTTGGTCTTAAATATAAGACCTCAATCCACTTTATCTCTCATATTTATTCTTTTTTTTTCCTAAGGTAGTCCTTCTAATAATGGTAGTTCTAGCTAATACATTTGATTAGTAAGGATATTCTAGGAAATACAACACCTATTTATAACAAATAACTAACTTAACTTATTTTCTTAATCTACTTAAATTGGTCAACCAGCTTTTATATTTAGGACCGGAGGTTGTGTGTGTGTATATACAGGGAAATCTAATTTGGGGGTCCTTGTAACTTTATGTCATTTTTAATCAAGTCCTTGAAGTTTTTTTCTTTTTTATCAGCTCCTTAAGTTTTCACCGTTACATCCGTTAGCCCTTGTCCTTCAAAATCGTTAATGGACTCTTGACAAATGTTTGAGAGGACCGAGTTTACTGACAGCAAAGTTTGAAGACTGAGTAAAAGATGCCTTTCACACCCATGATGAACAAGGTGTCCTTCCCTTCCTCCATTTGCTTTTGTTTGCTGCTAACCATAAGTCTATCGACAGCAAAAATCACAATGCAAGTGATGTTGGGCTTAAAGCTGCAATTGACGTCTCACTACTCCAACTCTTAAGGGCTATTCAACCAAAAATCAATGCAAGTTCTTAATAATAAGGCGAGTGATATTAATTCAGATCTTCTTCATCCCACATGGAATTGGCATACCTTGGCAAATATTGCGACCATACCTGTAGCTCATGAAATTACAGAGGCTACCAATGCAAATTGGCTTGAAATAGTTGATGAACCGGTGAGGCATCCTTGGGATTTCAAGAAGAAGAAATTTTGCAGCAGAACTAGCGAGATATCTTGTCCATGATTTCCTCTAATTCCGATACAGTGCAGTCCAAATGACCTTGGCGCTCCTCTAGGAATTGCAGAGCTAGGCGGCAAACATGCCAGCCCACCATCAACAAACTTGGAGAAGGCCTCCTTGAGGTCTGAATCAGATCGGTAGTCTTGTACTTCGCTCTGCCGATAGATTTGTGGTGAGCAGCAACCAAAAGCAAGTGGAGGAAGGGAAGGGCACCTTGTTCATCGAGGTTGCGAAAGGCATCTTCTGCTGAGTCTTCAAACTCTGCCATCAGTAAACTTAGTCCTCTCAAACATCTGCCAAGAGTCCGTCAACGATTTTGAAGGAGAAGGGCCAATGAATGTAACGGTGAAAACTTGAAGGAGCTGATAAAAAAGAAAAAAACTTCAAGGACTTGATTAAAAATGACAAAATTACAAGGACCCCCAAATTAGTTTCCCTATATGTATATAATCAGGGTAATTGAAGCCACAAACTAGTTGGGCCTTATGACTCGGGCCCAAAAGAGCTATCTAACTGGGCTAATAATATTGACTGGGATCGTTTTAAAGGGATTTATGTGAAGGGATCAAGTGCCCACGCGAGGCTGTACCAAAAACCAAAAAGTCCCCACGCAAGACCAAAAATTTGTTATTAGTTGGTACTGTTATTCAGCCTGAAAGTTGGGATTAATTAAGCTCGGTTTCTTTAATAGTAGTATGACTCTCACCTAACTTACAGGCAATAAACTACTTGGTCAACTAAGTATGGACAATAATTTGATGTTTTTAATGCTGGCATCACATAATTTATTTTTTTAATGTTGCGTAGGGCGTATTTTCCAATCAAATTTGTTTGATGGATATATATATTTATGCCTAATTAATTATATATAGATATATCTTTCTAATTTTTTTTACCTATTCATTTTTCTCCTTTTTTATTTCATTATCGCTCACTCATTATCTTCATAAATAAGGATATATTTTTTGAAAAATTACATTTTTTTTCATATTTATTGTTTTTAACAATTTTTAAAGAACATTTATGCAATTTGATTAGTTGTTGGTTATATATATATGTGTGTGTGTGCGCGCGCGCGCGCGCGCGCGCACACAGAGCATCGGAGGGAATATATTTCTTGAAGTTCTCTTGAAACATTGAATTAAACTGATGAGAAAATTATTGTCTCTTCATGCGTGCGCATAGCATGTGATTAATTTACACTCGACCAATAGGTCATCAATAATTGTTTTTTGGCCAAATAGGTCATAAATAATTTGAAAAACATAATGGCACCTAATTAGATGGAGTAACATTTTTTAAAGCGCAAATTGAAGTATTGGGTTTAGAATATAATTTCATATCGTTGAGCACATGCTTACGCTTGCAAGTAAGAAAATCATAGTATTATAAAGAGAAAATAATTAATATGGAGAATTGCTTTCTATAAGAAAATTAATTATTAATCTATTTCTTAAAAATTCACATTAAATGTAGGCGCTTTTTTTTTTTTTTAAACTATGGATTCAAACCCGTGTTGCACGGACTCATCTTTTTTTTTTACTAAATCCATTGTTTTGTTTTCGGCTTTTTGTGCAAGTTGTCCGAGAATCTCATTAAAATAAGTGAAATATTCTGTTCTGCCCATAGTGATTCTTTTCTTTTGTTCAGATCTTGCATGCATATATTTAAATAAATGGTACTCCTCTACTCCTATTTATAAGTTATTTCTAATATGTTCATCACAGATCAAGAAGAAATTTAAACTTTATTAATTCTCATTTAAAATTTAACAACTTTTCAATTTTATTTCTATTTAATATATATTATATCTTATATAAATGAAGTCAATACAACAATAAATTAAGGATAAAATTATATATTCATGTAAAAAATTTCTCTAAATACCCTATAAATACGATCAAAAAATATTTTTTCTATCCTATAAATAGAAATAGAAGAGCAAGTATAAATCCTTAATAATACATTTATAAGTTATTTCAAAATAATAAAGGCGGCCATGCATTATATTGACTTTGTCAACTTGCATTTATTAACTTGATGAATAATACATTTTCTTTTTAAATAATACTTCCATCGTCACTTTTTATAACCAATAGCCATCATCTCCTTTACCCACAAATATAAGCAACATTTACAAGTTATTTTAAATTTTTATAACAAATTTTTTATTTTGCCCATATTAAAGACTTATTTTAATAGTTAATATATTTACTTTTTGTTTCTTGAAACATGATTTCCTAGATAATAAATGTTTCTAAAAATTATAGTTTAATATAATTTCTCTCCATCACACATTCTCTCTCTTCATAATTCTCTTTTTTATAATAATTATTTTATTCTTTTTCTTATACTCTTTCCTCCATAAATAAGGATATTTTGAAGGGAAAAAAACTTTCAGTCTTTACACATTTATTATCTTTAATCAATTTTAACTAATTTATCACTCTGTTCCTTATTATAGGTCTCTTTTACCTCAAAAGTTTGTTTCAAAATATAAGTCACTTGTAGTATAATTAATGATCTTTTTCTAATTTTACCCCTATTAATTTAATAAAAATTAATTAATTTAAGTTTGAAATAATGGCTTTTCGAAACACGTCCCTCTCCCTCTCCATCTCTCTCTTTTAGCTTTTCATTTTCTTTGTAGTCCATCCCCTCCCTCCCTCTCTCTATTTCAACTTTTAATAAAGATAAATATGAAAAAAATTGATTAATTTAATGTATTTCTTGGTTTACAGGTTTGAGATACAAGTGACTTATAATAAAGAATAAAGTAGTAGTTAGCATGGACGGAGAGTATTCCAACTTGACACTAGCTGCGCAAGTCACAAAATTGACCAAAGATTTATGTTGAAAAATCAAATTAATTAGGTCACAATAGTTGAAAATAAGTGCTTATGTTGAATTTTAAGATCTGACTTAGGAGACGACTTTGAAAAGAGCTTAAAATACGATTAAACAATTGATTGCCACAATTTCCAAATGCTGACTCACCATACTAACTAAAAAGTGACGTTAAGCTGAAAAATAGAAACTAACATTAGTTAAGACTACGTATAGTAACAATGATATATATAAGTCAATCTACCTTGGACAACGTATCAGCATCTTTCTTCTGTGATCATGGAGGTTCTTCAGATCTTCCTCTACTTCATCTTGTTTTGCTTTCTTCTTCTGATATACAAGCGATCGAATTCAGAGAAATCCAAGCAAACCCTACCCTTACCTCCAGGGCCATGGAAGTTACCTCTTATAGGAAACGTCCATCAAATTGTCGGGGCACTGCCTCATCATGCCTTCAGAAAATTGTCCAACAAATATGGACCCATAATGCATCTTCAACTGGGAGAGACATCCAATGTTATTGTCTCTTCCGCAGAAATTGCCAAAGAGATCTTCAAAACCCATGACCTTATCATGCTCAATAGACCTGATATTCTTGCTGCCAAGATCATCACTTACAATAACATAGACATTGGATTCTCCCCACATGGAAACCATTGGAGGAACCTTCGAAAAATCTGTACTTTGGAGCTTCTAACTGCAAAACGTGTTCGATCTTTCAGGTTCATAAGGGAAGAGGAAGTATCTGCACTTGTCAAAGACGTGTTCTCCAGTGCAGGGTCGGTCATAAATCTGAGTGAGAAAATTTTCTCAACTATAACTTCTATAGTTGCAAGAGCAGCCTTTGGTAGGAAGTCTGGAAATGGAGATCAAGAAGCTTTCTTATCTACACTTGACGATATAACGAAAATGGTGGGAGGATTTTCAATTGTTGATCTCTTTCCTTCTATCGAGGTGCTTCAAAGGATTACAGGAATGAAAGCCAGGCTTGAAAGGGTCCACAAATTGAATGATCAAGTATTGGAAAACATCATCAGGAATCACAAAGAAAGAAAAGTTAAAAGCAATGAGAACGATGAAGAGAACCTAGTTGATGTTCTTCTAAAGATTCAGGAGGCAAAAGATCAAGAATTTCCCCTGACTCACGACCACGTCAAAGCCGTCATTCTGGTAAGTAACTAAAAAGTTTACTTTTTTGAGCTGTTATGAGCTTGAAAAAGTGGCTTATAAAAGTTTTTAATATTACATATAAGTTTACTTCCACCGTGATGCTTATGCTTTTTAGTTGGTAGGACAAGATGAAGGCTCTGTCCTTCATTTCTTTTAATAATTTTTTCTCATGGGCCTTGTCTCCAACAGCTAGACATCCAGTTATTAAATTCACTAACGATCAACAAGTATGATTATTAGAATAAATTATCATCCTGATAATCAAATTGACAGCTTTTAAATTGTTCGAAGTCATCATTCGTACAGAATTGAAAAGTTGAGAGCCATCTTTCGCGATTATACATGGTCAGGTTTTGAAAGTCAACTAATTAATTACTTGCCCTTTGTTACAGGTATTATTAGAGAAAGTATTGCTTCTCTCTAAATTGAGCATCTGACAAATTAATTCATATGCTATATTCTCATGATCCATTTTCAGGATATGTTCATTGCTGGATCTGAGACATCATCAACTACTCTAGAGTGGGCAATGGCTGAATTGACGAAGAATCCAGGAGCGATGGAGAAGGCTCAAGCTGAGGTTAGAATGATCTACAAGGGAAAAGACTTTGTGGATGAAAGTGAGATTCACCAATTGAAATATATAAACTCGATTGTGAAAGAAACCTTAAGGCTTCACCCACCTGGAGTGTTGCTACTTCCAAGGGAGAGCACTGAAAGATGCGTGATTAATGGTTATGAGATACCTAAACAGACTCGAATCATGGTCAATGGATGGGCAATAGGAAGAGATCCCAAATTTTGGGATGAAGCCGAGACGTTCAAGCCAGAGAGATTCTTGGATAACCCAATCGATTTCAGAGGAGCAAACATGGATTATATACCGTTTGGTGCTGGAAGGAGAATATGCCCCGGAATTAACTTCGCTGTATCTAGCATCGAGCTTCCACTTGCCAATTTGCTGTATCATTTTGATTGGAAGCTGCCAAATGGAACCACTCCCGAAAATTTTGATATGTCTGAGACGTTTGCTGCAAGCGTGAGAAGAACTGAGAATCTCAAGCTGATCCCAATCAGTTATCAACCCTAGTTGTATAATAGTATTGCCTCAATGATGTGTCACCTTGCCTCTAAATAAAGTTAAAGTACTACTTAATTAACCTACTTGTTCTGCCCTTGTTTTTTTTTGTTTAGTTCTGGTCGTTGTAAACTTTCCTCTGATGGTAAAGAATAAGTAGTTAAATAATATGGTACAATGTTCAGAGTTTGATGAACTTGTAGTTTGTTGAGACTATCTACAAGAAGCTTAGAAGTTTTCAGTAGTACAGTTACACAAATTAATTTCATACTCATTTTATATCACTTTAGTAGTCTTATTTTTAATTTCCAACCATAATCTAGTCCAAATGAAATAGGTAAATTTTCAATTGCAATCAGTATTTGTTTTTTTTTTTTGGGGATACAAACGGAAATAATTTGTAATTAGTGTTTGTTAGTAGTGGGATTACGCAAATTTCATTCCCCACCATACATCTTCTCAGAAATCTTATTCTTAGTTCCCAACAATAAGTTAAATCTAAAGTCAATTAATTTTCAAGTGAAGTTAATTCCTTTTTATAGTAGGCTTTCACCAATTTCATATTCAACTTATGCCTTTCTATTAGTGTGTTGCACAAATTATTTGTAATTCTCAAAATAAAAATTCCGGCAAAAAAAATTGAAAATAAAACTATTGAAGTTAGTAATGAAATTTGCAAAACTCCACAATTGAAAACCATTAACATTAATTTGAAATTCACTTATTTAAGAGTTGACTCAAGTTATTAATTCATTTTAAAAAAGGTGATCCCCCCCCCCCCAAAAAAAAAAAACAGTTGACACTGCCGCGCCGGTTTTATCTTTGGCTTTGGCAATAGTGGTTTCTACCCGCCGTCCGACCAATGGCGACAAGTCTTGACGATCAGTTGGTGGACATCTACAGGGGCATTTTTGTCCACGTAATTATTCAAATAAAGGCTGCTCTCTTACATTGACTATAACTTTTTTTTGGGGCCAAACGTTGACTATAACTGTTTGGGCCGAAAGAAAAATACTGATAATGTGACATTTTCTTTTATTGTTATTATTATTATTATTAAAATTAATATATGCATGATCGCCAGATTATGTTGAAGATTTCAAGTTTTCAACTTGAGATTTTTCGTTGGTGCAAGTCTCAAAATTGACTAAAGCTTATGGTGACCAATCAAAGATAGACAGATAGTTTATAATATTCGATAAATACAAAAAACTTAAGTCATTACACTAATTAAATTTAATTTGGCAAAAGATTAGTTACATTTAATATTTATATGCTGACGTTGATATAGACAGTACAGAATATATATATATATAGCTTGGTTCAATAATGAAATTTGATATTGGTATGCAATCCTTTTTTCCCCTTATCTTGATTTGAAATTTATAGATACAATGCTTGAATATATATATATGCATGTATATACACACACTTTGGAAGGTTTCAATTGACAGGGGATATTTCTTATCCTAGCATATGGTGCTATTACTGCTGGCAAATGTTGGGGGAAAAAATTACTGCAGGCAAAGAAGAAGGGGGGGAAAAAAAAGCCTTACTGCAGTTCTGTATTCATTTGACAAATAGGCGAAGATGATTATTTAATTTTAAGGTCTGACTTTTAGACAACGACTTTGAAAAGAGGTTGCGTTAAATGACGATAATTAATTAATTAATTAATCACAATTCACAAGAATTTTTAAATGCGGACCCACCAGAATAAGTAAAATAGAACAGAAGCTGTCATTATACAAAGTATTATAACAAAGCATCCTCATTCATGCAGATTCCATACAGCACTCATATGTGCAGTTTGTTCTACCTAGGGTGTTCATGGGACGGGACGGGACCAGGACAGGCCCGTCCCGGTGAACAGGGACGGGACAGGGATTTTGTCCCGTGTCTCACGGGACTGGGACGGAACCGGGACTGGACCGGAACGTCCCGCTTCCCCCCTTTTTAAAAAAAAAAAAGATACCATAATTTTTTATATGAATTTTTTTATGTTATAATACTTATTTTTTATTGGGCTTTTAAAGATAAAAACATTATAAAAAAATATTATGTAGAAAGCTTAATTATATAGCATAAAAAAGGTGTAAAAATAATACTGTAAAAAAAATATCGTAAAAAAAACACTATATAATGACTTTATTAATTATTTTATTGAGGAAGGAGATTTTGTTGAGATAATACTACAACTTAAGAGCTACAAATCACCATAAAAATAAGAGTTATTATTAATAAGTAAATTGAATAATCTAATAATAATTATTAATAAATAATTTTTAAAAGAAAAAAAATCCCGGGACGGGACGACCCCGTCCCGGTTACTGTTCCGTCCCGTCCCGAAATTTTTTTTATCCCGTCCCGTCCCGTCTCGAACTCACCGGAACCGGGATGGAATGACTGGGACGAGACAAATTGAACACCCCTAGTTCTACCCCGGACAATAGATGAACATTGGACTTCTATAATCATGGAGATTCTCCAGATCTTCCTTTTCACCTTGTTTTGCTTCCTTCTTCTGATATACAAACGATCAAACGCCAAGAAATCCTTCAAAACCATGCCACCAGGGCCATGGAAGCTTCCTCTTATAGGGAACATCCACCAAATTGTAGGGTCACTACCCCATCACTCTTTGAGAAACTTGGCAAATAAGTATGGACCCTTAATGAATCTTCAACTTGGAGAGACATCTAATGTCATTGTCTCTTCCTCAGAGATTGCCAAACAAATCTTCACAACACATGACCTCATCTTCTCCCAGAGACCTCACATTATTGCTGCCAAGATCATCACTCCAAATATATACTTTAGCTAAAATAATATCAATATGTCTGAGTCTGCTACGCATATGCCCAATGTCTCCACTTTAAGGACACACACATAAACATGCGGGATGTACTTTGAAAAATAAACAAATAAAGACCTGAAATTATGATTTGAAACCCTTAATTTAGAAAATAGCAAATAAAGATCTGGTCCCATATTGCAAAATATAAAATCTTGGTGAAATATCTGAAATGCTCCTCAGTCAAGTGACAAGTTAACTATAAGAAATGAAAAGTTCACTTTAACGAATGACAACTTCAATAAACCAAATCACAATTTAGTTGAGGATATATCAAATGACAAGTTGACTACGGAAAATGACAAGTTCACTTTAACGAATGATAACTTCAATAAACCAAATTACAATTTAACGGAGGATATATCAAATGACGAGTTGACTATGGAAAATGACAAGTTCACTTTAACGAATGACAATTTCAATAGATCAAATCACAACTTGACTGAAGAGCATTTCAGATATTTTACCAAGATTTTATATTTGCAATATAGGATTAGGTTTTTATTTGCTATTTTTCAAATTGAGGGTGTAAAATTATAATTTCACATTTCATGTACTTTTTGATTAATGTCTAAATTTGTTTGAGAAGTTTTAACTCAAGGCCGCCAGGTATCAAAAATTTAAAATCATAATAATTTTATTTTTTATCTTCTAAAAAATAATATTGACTATTCAAATAATAATATTTGCCGGTAACAGTTTTAATTGATGGGAGATGAGATTGTATGGTAAAAATTTCCGCGTATCCAAGGCTGCTGCTGACCGAAAACTTCTATGAAAAATTTGCATATTATCATTTTCATTTTTGAAGTCGTGCATGTTTCATTCCTATTCTCAGCCGCCCCTGGACTGACCACCTTGTCATTCGTTGTTCATTTGATGGAAAGAAAGTTTTTAGAAAAAATTGGTTTTCTACTTTTCTTTCTTTTTACTTTAGAATTATTTTATTTCCCCGGACACCCCAATTTCATCAAACGAGACAGATCAGCATTATCTCCAGGCTGGCTATAAATGGCAGAACTTGACTTCAATCCCAGAACCCACTTCAACCCATTTTTGGCACTGAGTTGTGTTTTAGTGACTTAGAAATACTACCTCTGGTTCTAATTATAAGAGCCAGTTGACTAATTTGAGAAGATTAAAGAAGTAAGTTGAGTTAGTTATTTGTCTTAAATAAGTGTTGTCTTTCTTAAAATATCCCTACTAATCAAGTGTATTGACTAAAACTATTATTGTTAGAAGGATCACTTTGAAAAAAATGTATAAATATAAGAGACAAAGTAGATTGGAATCTTATATTTAAGATCAAAATAAAAATCAAATAGGGTCTTATATTGAGGGTCGAAGGTAATATTAAACTACTAATGATAATTGAGGGTGAGATATTATATTGATTCTTCGATTTTATTTACTAAGTTATATAATTGAGAAAGAGATTCTTCCATGTGATTTAAGTTATAAAATTGATTTGGAACCAGCTTTCGTTTCTCGTTTTAGGGCCACATCTTATGTAAATTATGTAATCTTTTGTTTTTTTTACCTGTCACGTTATTAATATTAAATTAGTGGGTCAAACGGTTCGTGTGTATTCTAATTTTAGTGCAACGGGTATTTTAGAGGCAAAGTGATATATAGACACATTAGAAGTCCTTTTTTTTTTTAATAGATCTTACTTATATTATTTTGAAAGATGTGAATACATCTCTGTCCCCAGACTATTTTTATATTATGTATCAAATAAGTATATATTTTTTCTCCAGCCACTTAATTACTTTCTTTTTCTTGTGTTTAATTACAAAGCCTGTAAAAAAAGTGTCTCAGAAATCCCATCAGGTCATGATTGGTCCAATGAAAAGGGTTTTTTGGGGGGATGGCCAAGGGAATGAGGGAAAACTAATGGGTCTTCATGAAATAAAGTTCATATCGTAAATAAATTTTGTCTAACTCATATTTTATTTTTCTTAAAAATAAAATTATAATACTCCTCCGGTCCTAATTATAAGACCCAATTGACTTATTTGAGGAGATTAAGGAAGTAAGTTAAGTTGGTTATTTATAATAAATAAGTGTTGTCATTTCTAAAATATCCTTGCTAATTAAGTATATTGGCTAAAACTATCATTATTAGAAGGATTATCTTGGAAAAAAATGCATAAATATAAGAGACAAAATGGATTGGGTCTTATAATTAGGACCAAATAAAAAGTCAAATTGGGTCTTATAATAAGGACCGGAGGAGTACAATTGAAAAAAACTAGGACGAGTCCATGGATGGTAAAAAATCTTCAAAGAAAAAGCTGTTATTATAATAACTTATAGACAGCATAGGACTAATGTGATTAATTAAATCCGAACAAAGGGAAATCAAACTTTCAAGTTGGAATGGACCATTAATTAAATCACAACACATAAGTAAAAATTCAGCAAACCATTAATTCAATCACGGAAATCAGAAATTTGCCACGTGCCAAACAACATTATACATAAACTTTAAAGCCAAAATATTGGAATAAATAGGCGCCAAGGTTCGAATTTGGTTAGCAGAAGTACCCACATTTAGTACTTGATAGTGTCTCAAATATAATTACCTGTAATAAGAAGATATTTAGGTATAACAAATATATATTATTATTCTTAGTTGGTCGTGGAAAACGCTGTCGTTTGCCACCAAAGCCAGCGTCTCAGACCGAGAGAAAGCTCGCCTCCCGGAACATGTAAGAAGATAATTAACTCGCGTCACCTGGCATCAGCGGGATCCAAGGAACCGAAAAAACCCAAAAGAAAAGAAAATGGGAAAAAGACATATGAGGTCCAATAGGTCTTTTATGAGGCCCAATAATCCTTCCCACAAGGCCCGATAGGCTTTTATACTTTTGTGCAAGGCCCAATTTTAGGCTTCAAGGCCCAAGAAGTTATTTTAAAATACCAATTTTTTTTTTGATAAGTTTAATTACGCCCCCACTGCCTGCTACTGATTCGGTTGTATTGTTTTGAACATAAGAAGCTAGTCTCTTTATTAAAAATAATACTACTTCTCATCTTTAATATAAGAGCTAGCTTAACTTTCACTTTGGCTTTAAACATCTACTTTATCTCTCGTATTTATTCATATTTTTAAAATAATCCTTATAGTAGGTGTACATATTAAAAATTCAATTAAATAGTAGTTTAGTTAACACATGATTAGCAGGATATTTTAGAAGAGAAAACACCCAATTATTTAAAATAACTAACTTAACAAACTTATTTGATTAACTCAAATTAGTCAACTAACTATTATACCACCTCTGGTCTTTAATATAAGACCTTCTTTGATTTTTATTTTGGTCTTAAATATAAGACTCCAATTCACTTTGTTTCTCGTGCTTATACATTTTTTTCTAAGATAGTCCTTCTAATAATAGTAGTTCTAGCCAATATATTTGATTAATAAGGATATTTTAAGAAAGACAACACCTATTTATGACAAATAACTAACTCAACTTATTTCTGTAATGTTCTGAAATTATTTAATTAGCTCTTATAATTAGGACCGGAGGTAGTATGAAAGACTGGAAGTAGTAATTTGTAAATCCTTATAATTTCATTTTGCAGTATGTAATCAAATTTCTTGGCCTCCCTTAATCTAATGATAAATGAAAACGTGAAATCAAAGGAAATTGTTTTTCGGGGTAAGGAAATTAATTAAAGAAATTTTAAAGGCAAGATGTGGATTAAATGTAGAGAATTGAGAAATTCAATAAAATCTTAAAATATTTTATTATTGATATTAAACTCCAATAATCAAAATTCACTAAAAAATATCCAATAATCAGGAGCATGAAATACGTGGCAATAGAAGTCAAGGGAAAACTCATTAAAATAATTGATGGGGTAATATCTAATAGCCTTTGTTTTTGACTAGATATCCCATTGTTTTTATTTTTAAATTTTTATTAAGTAATAATTTCGACGAAACCCAGCGCGATTGGCCAACTGGGGCATAAAGTCAAATTTTGGTGGGAATTATATAAATATCTGTGTCGAATTAAATAAAAAATTTAATGTCTTACGGTATTTAAAAAAAGAACTGAACATCCAGAACGTGGAAAAGCATGAGTGTATAATACGACTCATACTCCCACCATTTTGATCAGAGACTAGTCTGTAATTAATGTCCACAAAAAATAGCGTTTTCAGTAACAAAAGTTCAGTCTCTGATTGTATCCAAACAATTGCCTTGCAAATTTAAATTGAACCTGTTATCAATGATCAAGTTTTCACCCAAAAAACAAGAAAGAAAGATAAACATAAAAGCGTGATACTACCACTTGTTCTTAATCTAAAAATTCATTTGACTTTTATTTTGGTCTTAAATATAAAACCCTAATGTATTTTGTTTTTCATATTTTTTTTAAAGTAATCCTTGTAATAATAGTAGTTGTAGCCAATACACTTGATTAGCTATGATTTTAAAAAAGATAACACCTATTTATTACAAATAACTAACTTAACTAGTTTTCTTAATATACTCAAATTCGTCAACTAGTTTTTATATTAAGAAAGAGAGGTAGTATTAAATACAAAAGCTAATTGACTAATTTGAGTAGATTAAAAAAAATTAGTTAAGTTAATTATTTTGTAACAAATAAGCATTGTCTTTCCTAAAATATTCTGATTAATTATGTGTATTAATTAAAACTATCATTTGATGAAACATTTAACATATACAACTAATACAATGGTTGCTACCTTAAAATGATAAATAAATATTAAAAATAAAGTGGATTGAGATTTTATATTTATAATCAAATTAAATATCAAACTAATTTTTATATTAAGAATAACTTACATAAATATAAAAAAATAATATTAATACGCAAGCATACGCTACGCCAATACCCAATATGGCTGCTCTAAGGACTAAGGACACACAAATATAAACATGTGGAATGTACTTTTAGATTAATGTGTAAATTTGCTTGGAAAATTTTAACTCAAAAGCGCTTGTTATCTGAAAATTGCAAATATGTCCTGAAAGAGCCATTTTGTCTTTTACTGTTACAAAAAAGATGATGTTAACTATTCAAAATACTGATATTCACCTGTAACAGTTGTAATGGTAGGAGATAAAATCGTAAAATTTCTGGGTGTCCAAGGCTGCTGCTGACCGAAAGCTTCTGTGAAAAATTTGCATCTTATCACTTTGATTTTTGGCAGTCGTGTATGGTTCTTTCCCATCCTTAGCCGCCCCTAGAAGGGCCTCCTTGTCAGTGGCAATATTCATTGTTCATTTGATGGAAAGAAAGTTTTTTGAAAAAATTGGTTTTCCACTTTTCTTTCTTTTTACTTTAGAATTATTTTATTTCCCCAAACACCCCAATTTCAACAAACGAGACAGATCAGCATTGTCTCCAGGCTGGTTATAAAAAGGCAGAACTTGACTTCAATCCCAGAACCGACTTCAACTATCATCTTCTCCTTACCTGTAACCATGGAGATTCAGATCCCATACTCTATCATCTTCACCTTCATCTGCTTCCTCTTTCTGATACGCAAACTCTCAAATTCCAGAAAATCCTCCAAACCCTTACCTCCAGGACCTCCCAAGTTGCCTCTTATAGGAAACATCCACCAACTTGTAGGATCACTACCCCATCGCCGTCTCAGAGACCTTGCAAATAAGTATGGACCCTTGATGCATCTTCAACTTGGAGAAACCTCCAACGTGGTAATCACTTCCCCAGAAATTGTTAAAGAGATTACCAAAACACATGATCAAATCTTCGCCAATAGACCCAAAATCCTTGTCAGTGAGGTCTTTGCTTACAATAGCACGGACTTGGTGTTCGCTCCTTATGGGAGTTATTGGAGGCTTCTTCGAAAGATTTGTACTCTGGAGCTTTTGTCTATGAAGAGGGTTCAATCTTTCAGAAAAATAAGGGAAGAGGAAGTTTCAGAAGTTGTCAAGTTCATTCATCAACAAGAAGGTTCCACTGTGAATCTCAGTAAGATTATCTCCCCAGTCACAAATTCCATTGTCGCTCGAGCTGCCTTCGGTAAGAAGACAAAGAACGTTGAGAAAATCCTATCAACAGTGGAGTACACAGTCCAAGTGGCCAGTGGTTTCTCGATCTCTGATCTCTATCCTTCATCCAAGTTCCTTTACGCATTAAGTTTAACCCGATACAAAGTTGCCAAAGCGCACAGAGACGTTGACAGGTTGCTGGGAAACATCATCGACGACCACAGAGGAAAGAAAGAGATCGATGTTGATGGTGAGGCACATGAAGATTTGGTTGATGTTCTTCTCAGAGTTCAAAAGCAGAATAACGATGAAGTCACCTTGACTCTCAACAACATCAAAGCTGTTATATTGGTTAGTCTCAGTTTAATTAATTTACAGTATGTACTAGATATCAGAGAAATTTAAATCATGTTTTGAATCTATATTTCAGGATGTTTTTGTTGGTGGGACTGAAACATCAGCAACAACACTAGAGTGGGCAATGTCAGAATTGATGAATCACCCAGAAGCAATGAAAAAGGCTCAAGAAGAAGTGAGAAATGTTTATGGAAGCAAAGGGTATGTAGATGAATCAGAAATTCATCAGCTAAAATATGTACCAGCTGTGATTAGAGAAACTCTGAGATTGCACCCACCTGGGTCTTTACTAGTTCCAAGACAAAACAGTGAGACTTGTGAGATAAATGGCTATGAGATATCTGGCAAAAGTAGGGTCTTGATCAATGCTTGGGCTATCGGAAGAGACCCCAATTACTGGAACGAAGCAGAGAAGTTTAAACCAGAAAGATTTGTTGACAGTACAGTTGATTACAAAGGTGGGAACTTGGAGTTCATTCCATTCGGTTTTGGAAGAAGGATATGTCCTGGAATCTCGTTCGCTGCACCTGTTTTACAGCTTATACTTTCAAATTTGCTTTACCATTTTGATTGGAAGCTTCCTAGTGGAACAAATGAATTGGACATGGCTGAGGATTTTGGTGCCACAGTAAGAAGAAAGAATGATCTACTCGTTGTTCCAGTTCGCTATTCTCCAAATAATTAGGAAGTTGAAGTTTTAATTATTGGATGTCTCTAGTTAATCTGAAGTTGTCACTACCACACAAACTTCCACGCTTGGAGAGAGATACGTAGGTGTATGAAATAAGATGACGAGCCTAGCTAGTTTTTTCCTGTATCGATCAATATATGTAATTGAACGGGTTGTTGAGTAATAAAAGGATGTGTTTCCCTGCTTTGAACTCAAGAATTGTTAATTTGTTGCTTTTAATTTTTCTTAAAAAAATATATTAATAAATAAAATAAAGATTAATGTGCGCGAAGTCTAAATTAAGAATTGTTAACTTGTTGCTTTGAACATTAGAATTATTTACCTTCCTATTTAGGGTCAAGTCAATATTAAAGTTTTTGACCTTCAATTCTAAATTCCAAGTCAATACTTTGAAGGAATTAATTAATACTAGCTTTTGGTTCTAATTATAAGAGCTAGTCGACTAATTTGAAGAGATTAAGAAAATAAATTAAGTTAGTTATTTATAATAAATATGTATTGTCTTTCCTAAATATCCTTACTAATCAAGTGTATTGGCTAGAACTACCATTATTAGAAGAATTACCTTAGAAAAAAAGACAAAAATATTAGAAACAAAGTAGATTGAAATCTTATATTTAGGACCAAAATAAAAGTTAGACGAGGTCTTATATTAAAAATCGGAGGTAATAACAACTATCTAGTGTGTAATACAAATTATTTTTAAAAAATAATAGATAAAGATCGTAAAAATTACAAAATTTTAAATTAGGAAGCGTTACAAACTTACAATAGTTTAACTGATTTTGATAATAATTGACTTACCAATAACAACACATTTTTTTAAGAATTCTTGATTAGAATTTTATAATTTTCATAGTCTTTTTCTGTCATTTTTTCATTATTTTAAGATTAGATTTGTTTGTTTATGATTTTTAAAAGACACTTATTTTTCCCCCCAAAAAAATACCTTTAGATAATTTTACCATGGCTGTTTTAAAATTAAAGAAATGACCTTTTCTATAATCATAACCAAACACAATAGTTTCTGTTTTTTATGATAAAATATCTACCTAATAAATTATTTTTTTACGATATCTCTATAATATCTAAAATCCAAAAATTACTTTATATTTTGCAAACTTAAACAAACTTCACTAAATCTATAATGGGAGGGGAAACGTGATATCTTATTGGAGGATTTTAACAGAAGTTTCAATTTAATATTTTAGTTTGATAGCTATTTATTTCAATTAATGGAGAAGATTAGAGAGTAGCCTTATAACAAGATTAGCTGGTAGAGTTCTCTAACATATGCATAGAAGTTAACCATAGCGCTGAGTGGCTTGTAAAATACTCCTCCGGTCCTTAATATAAGACCCATTTAACTAATTTGATTAGATTAAGGAAGTTAGGTAAGTTAGTTAATTATAAAAAAAGTGTCACATTTTTCCTAAAACACCATAATCATCTTTTTTAATACCTCATCTCCCTCTTCTATTTGATTATGGTTGAGGGAGTATCTATAGGGGTAATTTAGAGAAAATTGATAAATATGATAAATGGGTCTTATATTTAGGACCAAAACCAACTCAAGAATTGGGTCCTATATTAAGGACCGGAGGAGTACTAGGGACTTAAATCACGAAGTAGGATTTATATTAGTCTAATTGTAACTTAGGTCCTCTTTTTACAAAGAGGAAAAGATGGGAATTACTGTATATAAGGTTAAAAGGAAATAATATAATTACTAAAAGATCCCAGTAACAATCGAGCATCATTTGATCTTATCATTATTTTATGAATTAAAACTTGTCATTCGTTTTATTATAAAACCTTTTGGTCGTTTCATTTATTCCTTGCATGGGACCACATAGTGATTTTCTTTAAAAAGAAAAAAAATTATCCAGTTGTTCTTTTTATTTTTTTGTCCTTTTATTATTCATCAACTTATTTTAACTTGCAATCCAGTTGTTTCTATTGAAAAAACACCCAAAATTTATGAATTCTAATTTGTTCACTGTGCGAAAATTGAACAACTTAATCCATTCCATTACTGGTTTATGCAACCTTACAGGTTCTTTTTTTTAATTAGAAAAAAAAAATGAGACGAGATTATAAGTGAGATCCAAGCCGCAATTTTTTACGGACTTTCAATGGAGTTTTTTTTAATTAGAAAATCACACTTTCTTGCCTCCCTGAAACGACCACGTTTCATGGACCAGTGCGATAATAACATCCAAACGCTAGGACGCGCACTGGTCAAAATCTAACATGGCTGACTTAACACCGGGTGTGCGACGCTGCTTATTTTATTTTTTTTAACTTATTTTTCAAACAGAAATATTTTTTAACAGAAATTAAAAATTATTGATTCATTAAGATAATGCTCAGTTCAACGAAAGCGACCTTATAATAATAAAACAAAAGGGCCATTTCACGCTCGCCAAGAAATAATTACGAGCATTAACTATTGACTATCGTACTAATTATATTTTGTGTTTATTTTTTTTTTTAATCAGGCACACATGTCCCACAATGCATGCATCATTCATTAGGCATACACACACACCACGCGCGCGCATTTCGTGGAAATAATAGTATACTGACCTTAATATAAGATTTATTTAATAAATTTGATTAGATTAAAAAATTTAAATAAATTAATTAATTATAAAAAATATGACATATTTTTTTAAAATATTATAATTATCTTTCTTAATATCATCTCTCCTTTTTCTATTTGATTATGGTTGAGGAAGTATACATAGGGGTAATTTAGAAAAAATTAATGAATATGAGAAATAGGTCTTATATTTAAGATCAAAATTAACTCAATAATTAGGTCCTATATTAAGAACCGGAGGAACACTTGATATTTTATTTGGTACTGTTGACTCGTAGAATTTCTTTTTATTTCTTTGGCTTTAATTTCTAATTCCATTATTCCACGTCTTTGACACTACTTCCTATTTTCAATAGACTTTTTCCTTTTTCGTGGCCAGCCATTGTTGAATAGACTCGGAAGAAGTTTCCTTCGGACCAAAATTTAGCATTCTATCAAATCATAGTAATGAAACTAAAGGGAAAAAAATATGCAATTTTTTTTTAAAGAAACCTATATATCTCTCTTACTCTCAATTATTGATCGCTTTTAGAGTTTTCTTCGCTGTTGCTGAAATTTATTGATGGCAATTTTCGACAAGCAAGAAAAAAAAAAATCAATGGTTATATAGCCATAAACCTTTACCGTTTATCTTCTACTCAGCAGAGGCTATCTAAAATCACACAGAGTACGATATAAATTATGAATTTTAAGACAAGTCTAATGTGGTTAGCTTTATATACCTTTTTTTTTTTTTTTAAACCAGCGGTTAGCTTTATATACTTAATACTTGTTTTTGTACAATTAAATCATAACAAGTGAATTTAAAAAAATTGTAAGTAACATTAGTAATAAGACTTCGTTATAGAATAAACAATTATATTAAAAAAATTAACATGTGTTGAAATGATTGGATACAAAACTAATTAAATATATGTTTTTTAAACAAATTTATTACTATCTTACTTATTAGGGGTAAAACCCTGTGCAAGCACATTCTTTTAATATATTCATAGACTGAACCAACTTAAAAACCAAAAGTATGGTCTCAGCTTAAAACAAAAAGGTCTAGTCTTTATTCTATAAAAGTAATCAATTTCCTTGAAAATATTCATGAATAAATGAATGACATTTAGGTCATTTCTAATTTATGAATATATAAAAATCATAGCGAATTAATTATAAGTCATAGTGACTTTGAAGTCAAACTACGAAAGCTTGTAATCAAATCACTATAAATAATGTGTGTACGAAATTTCAGCAATGGAGCTTCCACGGCGACGACTTGGACCAATTCCAACACACTGATAGCAGTCATATCACATTAACTAGACAATTAATTCTACTAAAACTATTCAAGTGATCAAGTGAGTAGCTAGGCACACAAACATAATGAATTAATTAGGCAATATTTTTGGTACAAAGGAATTAATTAGCTACTTTGAAAATGTAAAATACTCGTGTTTATGTGTGGTTTTCAATAATTAGTTTTATTTGCAATTCCCTTTAATTTAATATTGTATAGTTTTTATACACGTATTTTGACCATAAATTCTTGTGAAGATGATACTAATGGGTCTTAGACGTAGAAGCTTAATAACTACTACTTCTAATCCTAAATATAAGATCTTATTTGTAGATCATAAACGAGATTTTATAATTAGAATCGGAGGTAGTAATTTGCAAATGTTAGAAGATTAATTAATTTAATCATTTAATAAAAAATGTGTATCACTTTCTCTAAAATATTTTTTTAATTATTTACAATGGAACTAGATAGAATTTTTCTTCATATGTTAAAAAAGATTATAAATTTTAAAATAAAATGGATTGGGGTTTTATTTAAGATTAAAATAAATCCTTTAATTAACTTGTACATTTATGAGCGATGGGAGCAATATTTATCATTACGTTATTTGCAGAAACACACAATTCCTTAAAAGAGAGTATCAATCAAAATTATTGAGAAGGATGGGGTCTCCGAGCAATGCATCCTTGATGTTGAACATTTCCTGGGGCATTTCATTTTCATGCATGACGTCATCCTTGTTGTAAATCAAAGTCAGCAATTTGGCCATCTTCCAGAACACCTTTTTCACTTCTCCTGGAACCACACTCCCTCCTTTCTGCAAAACTACTCTCACAAGCTCTTTCCTTTTCTCATCAATCTTCACTTTGATCTTCTTTATGATCTCTTCCTCAGTTACCTCCCCTGATCCATGTATCACTTCCAATGCAACTGAGTTCAGTTTTCCTTGTTCTCTTTCCCTCTGCAAACACCATTTTCAACTTCATTAATTACCCCCTAATTAATTAGCACAGCACCTCAAAGGTATCATCACAATATAATGTCTGGTGTAAATGAACTTGACTTGATATGAGAAAGTGAGAAGTCTCACATCACATAGAGTTGTGTTTAAAAAAAGTTTACATAAGTGGAAAGATTCATAAACTCATGTTACTTTTTAAGTTTTGAACTAAGATGTGATGTCGAACTACACTTACATATCACATATTTTTGCTGTGGGGCCTGACTGGATTCTTCTCTTTTTCGGGATGCTCTCTGGGCCCCACATTATTAATCCTTATTAATTTGTTTGTGGTGGTGTGGAGGGATGAGGGTTAATTACCTTGTAGCCGTTGACATCATTGAGTAATCTGCCATAAAAGCTAAGGATCTGAAAGAGTTGATTGTATTCTTCACTCTCAATGGTCTCATGGGGAAGCTTAGGCCCAACAAGATAAAGACTTGGAAGGACGATCACTCCCATAGCCAGTGATATTATTGAATTAGGTTCATACTCTTCCATGGTCGGCACACCTTTGTTCCTCGACCACTCAGCTTCCTTCAGAAACGACCTCAACACATCCACCCACTGCAAACAAAACGACATCGATACAATTCATCAAGCACATTGGGATGCAAACTATAGCCACTAAAATAGACGATAGATCATGTTCATCTCATACAATTTGAAGTGAATCATATATAAGTAGTGCGACTTTCTGTCGTATATTGTGTTTGGGACGTGAGATATATATATAATCAATGGACTCACAAGCTGAATCAAGTGGTTCAGAACGCTTCGTCCTTGAAACTTAGAAGCTTGCTCTGCAATCTCACAAATGGTTTCCTTGAGAGCTAAGAATAATATCTTCACTGTCTCAGAACAACTTTCTTTGCTCACATCTACGTCCCACCTGTGAACATTATATATGGCAATATCAAAGACTATTTCAATATCACAACCAGATCGATCTGGTGAAAATTCAGAAGAGAACGCAAGCTAGCTAATTAATTACGTCTCCATCAAGCGTAAAAGATCAATCTGTTCCTCTTGAGAACCCCAAACATCATAGAGATCATCAGCGACGTAAACAAGCAAGCCATTCTTGGCCCAAGCAAGGCGTGCTTCGCTAAGTTCTGGGCACGAATGGCCTCCTGCTGCTGTCATGAACGAATATCCCAGTTTAGTTTTTGACACTGGAAAGTGTAGTTTATCCAGTCCACTCTCCATAAACCACCTGGTCAAACACACATATATAAATCACTTGAAATGAACACAATATGTACTCAAAATTTAATTTTTGTCCCCGTTTATTGTGGATACTCACTTGCTGAATTGCTGCAAGTCCTTTTGGTACATGGATAAACCCTGGTTAAAATCTTGCACTGCCAGCTCCAACATATCCTTGCTTGTTCCCACGTTCAAAAGACTGATTTGAGGGAGCCAGAGCCACAACAAAAGTGGTGAATTTTTAAAGATGAAGCAGCAACAGCGTGTGTGTCTATATATATATATATATAGAGAGAGAGAGAGAGAGAGAGAGAGCAAGAAACAAGCATATGTATATATATTATTCATACCTATATGAAGTTTTCAGAATTCTCTTTTCGTCTATCTTGTTATTCTCTATAGATGTCCTGCTTAATATGCGATCCAAACTAATATGATAAGGAAACTTCATAGCATAATGTACCTGAAATATAAAACGTTTTCTTCTTCATTTTGGAGGTTTTTACGAGATCAGAGATAGTTAAGTAATGAACTAATCAAAGTGAGATTATATTCAATATTGAAGGTTTCTATACCTCATGATCAATATTGCTAAAAGGTTTATGAGAGTTCTCTGAGGAAGACGACAGATATTCCCCCAGGAATTGTCTTGTCCACAAGTTTTGTTCCTCTAGAACTGAATCATTCGAATGTAAAACTATCTGTGAAGACTTATGTAACTCCAAAATAGAACCAACATCCTTCAAATATCCTTGAAGAGTATTACTGAACTTGTCTTCTGAGAAACGATTCATTTCATCTGAGGACACAAAATTAAATTATTCATATCGGAGTTACTTCCATGTAGTATTATTTTTCATTACTAAATTAAGAATATATATATTTAATCATATATAAGAACACTGATCAGAAATGTTATAAAACCTGAAGAAATGTCATAACCGTGCAGGCGTAATAAACGAAATGCCACAGCACATGTGGTTGGCTCTAAAAATATATCCTCATCATCTTGCTGCCACAATCTGTTGCATTATGCAATTTGTTATTCAAATAATACAATTAATTTGATTATTTAAATTTTCTAATGAATTATTATACCTGTATGTTTCATCCAACACACTTTGAATCTCTTCCTGAAAATGACGATCAATACCCAATTTTTGAAGACAATCAACCAAGTGGAGTTGTGCAGACACATCCAGGGGATGAACAGTAGGAACTGAATATACAAAGCATATTAAATAATTAGCTAGTGCAAAATTGAAATTAAGATTAATGAAAAAAATCTAAGGAAAAAATAAATTAAAGGTGGAAAGTGACAAACCAGTATTATCATATTTATTGAATATTGAAAGCAGATAATCAAGACACTGAGAATTGTTCAGGTGGGTAAAAGCAGATGCTGTAGTGGCTGGTGAGTTGAATAAAGATCCATTTTTCCTTTGATATCTCATAGCCATTTCCCAATTCTGTGACTTTCCTAATCCTTCTGAAATATATGCTAAATATGCCTTCCATCCTTCTGAATTGGTTTCCCAGCCTCTGTTTTTATAACAATTATTGAAAATAAAAGTGAAAAAAAATAACACACAAATTAACATTTAAAAGAAAATAATTAGGATGATTCATATTTATTTGTTGATTTCACAGAGTACCTATATTTATTTACTGCTCAAGACAAATTTAAACCATTTATATTTAATTAATTAATTTCATTGCAATGTTTTGAAAATTTTTTTATTCAATCTAAACGATAAAAAGATACATACCTTTTGAGCTCCAATTCTCTTTTTTGAATGAGTGACTGCAAATGCCTTCCTCCAGCAAGAAGATTTAGATCCAATTTTTGAGCAGACTCAATTAAATTAGAAAAGATAATATCAAATCCAATTGGAGAGTATTGTTTATCATCATGAGCTGCAGCAATATTTGACTCAATATATTGAAGTCCTTCAAAAAGAAAAGAGAACCATCCAATTAGTCAATTAACTAGCACTAAGAATTTTCAAGAAGTGGGCAACTATGCATTAAAAAAAAAAAGAATAATCTGTAAATAATACCTCTGTTAGTTTGTTGTTCACCAATATTCCAATGCTTAAGTGCAATAACACAAGTTAAAGTAGATAAAAGGGAGTCTTTAATAAGCAACTCGTGACGATCAGAAAGACCCCATGATCCATCATTTTGTTGGTTTTCTAATAACCAATTTAGGGTTTGAGGGAACAAAGGATTTTCTGGAGAAGAAGGTGATGGTATCATTGCCACCCAAGCTGTGTCATAAGAAGATGCAGACAATTCAACCTTATCAAACATCTTCTTTATTCTCTCTTTATTCCCCTCTAATACCTGCATGTAATTCAATTCACCATTTTATTGTTTATTTTTTTGAAAAATTAATTGGCATATTAAAGTTTTAATTTGATTCAAATCGTATATATAAAAGAAATATATAGAAGGATGATGATGATATGTTAATGAAGTTACAATATTGCCAGGTTTGCTCTGAACTTTGTCCTTTGCATTTGATCCGACCGGAGTCGCTGAGGAATGAAAGTATACAAAAGACGTTAGTTTTGTCAAACTTGACATTAATTCTATGCATTGCATCAAGTTCAAAGAGTGAGCTATGCTATTTAATTACAAATCTATGAATTAATATGGTTTGTTAGTGTTTTTAAATTTACATTAATATTTTTATGAATAATTATGTTAACATACAGTCAACTAAACTTGGGGACTAGTTCATTCTCCAATAGAAAGAACAATTCAATGTTCAAAGAAGGAAAGAGACATCAAAAGACAAAGAAGTCACAAATTAGAGGATTAATTTACTTTCCAGCCTAAATTATACGTTACCGAAAACATTAGAATAGTCAGAGGCAAGTTGCACTATACTTGTCTCCGTCCACGCTTTGAACATGTGCTCTTCCACGTTTTATTTCAAATAGAATAATAAAGCACATAAATATTTGTAATTAAACTATCATTAATTAAAAATGAGTTACGAGTATTATTTTGTAATTTGTACATTATTATATTTATATTATTTCAATTAAATGTCATAACACGTTTATAAAAAAATGATCATATATAATTTTCCCCTTACAATTCATTATTATAATTAACAAATAAGTAACACAACGTTATGAAACTAAAATCATTCAGATACATATAAAACCCATTCTCTCACCATACCCAAAGAAAAGAAGGAGAAAAAAAACACCGTCATCTCAAACCAAATTGAATTCTCTCCATCTATTGATTTATACAACGAAATCATAAACAGTGCTACTTGTTTTCTAGATTCTATGCAACTTTCAGTTCCTACAATATAATTTTCATAAATATAGAAGATAGATTTCACGAATTAGTCGTTCAATATATATATATATATATATTCTGCTAGTGGTAATCTTAATATGAAAACACAGAAAATTACATGATAAGATGAATCTTCTCAAGTGGGAACAGAGTTGTTCCATCATCCACACGTTTCACAGTAAAAAGAGCAGGATTCAGAAATAGCGAAGATGGAAGATGATGAAGATGGAGTCCATCAATCATAACCCAAAACAAAAGTTTCATTTCGATGCTTCTTATGAATCATATCAATTATATGTATTGGTTCCTTCTTTAAAATTGAAATCACAGAGAGAGAGAGAGAGAGAGAGAGAGAGATGGAACCTGGAGAAAGCGAAGGAGCAAAGGAGGGGCGCGACAGAGACATTCTGGTTGCTTTCTGATAACACCAGATGCACCAAAGTGTTCGTGCTCTTTTATATATTTTTCGTGTGTGTGTGTGTGTGTGAAGGAGATGAAGATAACAGTTTTTTTTAGTAGTCCAATTATAAAAATTATATTCAACCAAACAAATAGGATTGTGTAGAAGAGATTTATTAATTAATACTCTCTCCCAGCATATATATAAGATATAGTTTTTGGAGCATGTACGATCCTACTTTATAAGATATACTCCTCCGGTGTTGTCCTTACTAGTGTAGGATTTAATTTAACAGTTGATATTGGTCCTATATATAAAATCTATTTCACATATTTATTAATTTTTTAAAATTAATTTTATTAATATTCCCTCAACAATAATCAAGTAGGAGTAGAAGAGAAGAAATTAAAAAAGATAATTAGGATGTTTTAAAGAAAACATATTATATTAACTAATTAAACTAATATCTTTAATTTACTCAAATTAGTTAATTGAGTTTTAACATACCGTGGAAGTACTTAAAAAGTGCCTAAAATTATAATTTTTTTTTTCATTTTTATCCCCATTAATTATGTTTTATATTAGTTCATTAGCTCTCTGCCTTTTTTTTTCCCTCTCAATTTTCTTCTCACTCTCTCTGTCTCTTTATAAAAGGTATTGTTGAAAAATAAATTATAGTTTTACATATATATTTATTTTCTTCAATAATTTTAACTAACTTTTTTTCATTTGCATGTCAACTAGCTCTTATTAGTTTGTTATACTACCTCTGATTCTTAATATAAGAACTTGTTGATTAATTTGAGTAAATTAAAAAAATTAGTTTAGTTAGTTATTTGTAGTAAATAAATACTGTCTTTTCTAAAATATCTTTACTAATCAAGTGTATTAACTAGAACTATTGTTATTACAAGGACGAAGTTGCAAAAAAATAGATAAATATAAGAGACAAAATAGATTGACGTTTTATATTTAGGACTAAAATGAAAGTTAAACGACTTTTTATATTAAGGACGGAGGTAGTATTATGTTTATGAGTGCTGAGTTTTTGTTTTCCCCAAGTATTTCAAGACGATGAAACAAATTTGCAATTGATCAATCGAAGAAAAGTTCACTTTGTAAGGAACTAGTCAAACTCTTCATTTGACCTAAAACAGTCAAGTTGACGATTGATTTAATTAATTAAAACATCTTTGAACTTTTTTCCCCAAAAATGCAAAACTAACAACTCCAAGAGCGAATAGTTCGTCGTCTGATTTGATAATTAATTGCTCCGTGTGAGTCCAGCTAATGTACGTCAACCAGCAGCCATCTTTATCATAAACAAAATTAGAGCAATTAATTCCCCTGTAATATATATAATGATGTTGATTCATTGTTGAAAATTTTACTTTTAAAATATAAAAAAGCACTTAAATTCAACTTTGACTTTAATAATTATTTTTAGAAATAAAAAATTATTTGCAAGTATTTAAACCAAGGTTTGCAATCAGTAAGTTTAAAACTTAAAACTATTCTCACATGTTAAAATAAAATATCTCTTCAAAAGTAACGGATTAAGTTTAGTAGAAAGAATTACTCTTTTAGAACATGATAAATTATGGTATAAATTTTGTTAGGAAAAATACCCATATTTAGTGTCTTATAACACTTAGAATATGATTGTTTCTAATAGAAGAATATGTGTGTAGGGGAAAAAAAAACCCTCTCCGATCAAAGCAGATAACGCACTTTTCCACCATTAATTTCCACTTATTTAGAAAAATATTTTAGTCTAGTCGCATGTTTTACTAGGCCAATTAATGAATTATTAAGATGATGACTTTTTAGGGCGACGGCATGGCCACGTCACATATGTTGACCACATGATTCTGGGCAAATTAATTTGTCGTTTTTTACCCCGTTGATCAAATAAAGTTCTATTTTAGGAAACTGCTTGTCAAAGCCGCCACGGAAGACTTTTCCACCAAAAATTAATTTCCACAATCAAGGAAAAAAACTCCACATACATAAATAAATAAATTCACTCAATTATTTATTCAAAAAATACGCCAGTCACCACCTCACTTTAATTTTGAAATATTTCAATTGGGAAAAATATTTCAAATCATCCATAATCATATCCTTCAGTTCCCCCCCCCCCCCCAAAAAAAAAAAAGAAAATTCATGTCACATGAGAGTAAACCAGACAGATAATTCAACTGTAGGACTGTCTTGCTTTTATTGCTAGAAATAAGCATTTAAGTGTACCGTATTCAATTACTCTGAACAAACATAATAGTGTGCCACCTTGGCTCGGAAGGGATCTCTCTTCCACTCTTTCCCTCCTCTGCCCTCCTTTTCTCTTTGTTTTATCATCATTGGATGTTCAGACTTAACATTGTATAAAAATAAATATTATTGTAATTTTATTTCAAAATATATCAAAAAATTTAAACTATTAAAATATAATCCAAATAATTCATAACTGTAAAAATTATACTTTATAATAGTAATAATAATGGATTAAAATTTAACAATTTAAATTTATTTATCTTTTTTAATCTAAAATTATAATAATATTTATTTTAATAAAATATTAAATCTAAATCAATAAAATTTCAATCCAGTAGTGGTAAAAGGAAGAAGAGGGTAGAGGAGGGAATCCTAGTCTAAATTTATTTTACATATTTGTTATTATTACCCAATCACAAAAGAGTAACTATTTCGCTATCTTCTTCATTAAAGCAGTAAACACAATATTTCTTATCTACAAAATCAAATTAATTTATTTCTTTATTTTTTTTTAACTTTATTTCGTGCTAACCGAATAAGCCTTCGACCAAACATGGGAAACAGGAAGAAAAGGAAATGAAAGGAAAATCATCTGTCTCTCCATTTCAAAAAAGGGAAACAAGAAACCTCACTTGACTCTTTCTATTCCTTCTATACAAATCTACCAGAGCCAGAAGAGGAAACAAGAACCCTCCTTTTTCTCTCAAGTTTGTATAAGAAAACGACTGCCAGAAATACTGGATACTATTTCTCACACGCAACACATGTTTACATTAATGAAGCATAGAAGACCCAGACAAAAGATGATAATATCATGTGATTGCTTAAGCGAATCCAGCACGTATAAGCAACATAGATACACACAAAACCTGACACAGCAAAATAAGCAAGCCTTGAATCTTGGAAGGTAACTAGTAAATTAGGATCTCTGCTTATTGCCCACCAGGACTCCTATTCCATGACAGATATGATGGATCTCCAAGTTGCCTAGAATCACAGTGAGATGCAGACAGATTAGGATCTTTGTAAACAATGATTAGGGGAAAGAAATAGCCATTCAGAAAACTACTGAACAGAATCTGACAGATATGAAATTTGGAACACAATCAACGTTAATAGAGGAAAAATGACAGTTGATGTAGAATATACCTTATGTGAACCTTAGCATTTGAAATAGACTAAGATGATGATGGTCATTATCATCCAATAACTAGAGCATAACAACAACAACAAGCCTTATCCCACTAGGTAGGGTCGGCTATATGAATCACACGACGCCATCGTGCTCTGTCAACAACTCAGTCCTTAGATATGTTGCTGACCAAGAGGTTTCGTTCAATGCCAATAACTAGAGCATAGTGGAAATAAATTTTATAAAGAATCTTCTGGTGGTTTTCACATTATGATGCTTCCTCATTTAGTTATATTATCTGAGTTCTGGTCAGAGCAGATACTTCAAAGCCCGCTTGGTAGAAAAGGATGATGGAAAGGGGGGATGAGAATGATGAAGCCCCATCCCGTACACATAATGTTCAAACACAATAAAAATAATAACCTTGAAATAGTATGACTTCTTATTATTATTATTATTATTTTTTTTTTTTAAACTTTCCATGCATTTTAAGTATTTACCTTGGCTTCATCAAATATATGATAGTAAAAGTCATGGCCAGAAAGAAGCACAGTCCTCCAACAGAGAGATATGCAATGCCAAGAAAGTTATTCTTCCCACCAAGCCAAGTAGTAGTTGACAGTACAAGCGTCTTCTTTCCATTAAAACTGTATGTGTTGTAATTGTTCTTCAATGTCACATGTATCTGGTCACCTGCCTTGAGGTCAACCTCTATTCGTCCGTACAGCTTCCTAAAAGTTGGAAGAGCAGCAGTTCGCATCCACACAATAAGATCCTCTTGCTCACTCAGCTGTTAAATACAACATCCAAAAAAGTGAGCAACTTATCTCAGTATGCAAATTATAGAGAACATTAATGACAACTTTGAAGAATGCAATATACTGCAAGTCACAAAAAATGAAAAGGGAATCAGTGCAGAATATAATATAGCAAAAATTAAACTAGAAGTTTAGATTAAATGAAGGTGGGTAAATAAACATGTACAAAATTTTTACATTAACAAAAGTTTTTAGTTTATTGCAACATATAATTAGACAGGTGACACGTTCAACTGACCTCTCTTTTGCTCATTAAATATTCCCTAAACTCAAAATTCTGACCCTTCAAAAGCTGATAAGTTGGTCCTCGTGGCAACAAAAGATCTCAACTGATACGATCAATTGTTGGTCATTTATGCTTCTCATTTACCAAATATATTCTATGCTTTTCAGGAATTTCCAGGTAACTTCTCCGAATAAATTAGTGTAGTATTGGTCAGTCAATGCTACGCCCAAATTATATAGCCAGTTGACAGTCCAATCCAAACACCTTAGAAAATGTTATATGAATAGTTTTATTCAATCAAAAAGCAATAAGAAGCTTCAAAATTGGTCACACATGCACACAACAGATAGCGTGATCCGTAAACATCAGTGCAACCACTAGATGCCATATTCCTACATAATCTCAGATTACTGCACTAGACCCAGTAAACAAAGAGGATTATACAGACAAATAGTCGCTTCATTCTCTTAAACCCCCCAACCCAACACACACACAAAATACCCCAAACAAGGGGAGATGCTTCATTCAATAAAAGAGTTTTATAATATGACTTACAGGTATGGATTCATTGAGACGCGCGCCACCTATAAGAGAGCCATTCTGAAAGTTTATGGGAAAGACATCTTTTCCAAATTTGTGTTCCCTATCACTCTTCCAGGAGATGCCTTTCTTGTTCACCGCCAAAATATTGTTTTCACGGGAGAAGTTATATGTATCATTGAACAAACTCCAAGCTATAAGACCACATGGTACAATGGCTCTGCCATCGGAAAGATCTTCAGGCTTACAATATTCAGTTACATTCCCCTTTTTGGGATCTCTCAACTGCTCATCATTTCGGCTTTTAACATACCTGAATGATATGAAGTCAGCCCTAGAATAGTTGCTATTATAAAAATTGAATTACATGGATTATCTTCCATCATTAACCAGAAACATCCCAACGCTAAGACTGAAATTTAGTGACATATATAATAAAATGACATGAAAGTTTATAACATGTTATGGAGATAAGATCTTTACATGGATGTTGCTTAAAACCTTAAGTTAGAAGACAGAATCAGAGCTATAGGTCAAGGCTTATAACTATCTTTCACTAACTATATATATTCTTCACAGCTTAGATGATTGGTTAAAAATGAACTTCCCGATAGTTCTTGGACAATTTAATTTTATTCCTTCTATTTCCATTCTTGGACAAAAACTTGTTTCCCGTAACCAAGGGCAAACAAATAATTAGTTCTTGACACAGTAGTTGAAAAGATTGATAACATTAAAAATTAGTATAGACCATAATTCAAAGTTTCAACATGAATTTGAAGAACCAATTGCCATCCATATTATATAAAAGTAAGCAGATAAATTAGGGATACTCTCCATCATTATTTTCTTTATATTTATATTTATATTTATATTTATATAAGCATGTGTTTTCAGTTAACTTTGTGAACCCTTGGGTGTCTTGAAGATGTTGTGATTGAATATTACAAGAGTATTTGTTTTCTCCCTCTTTCTCCCTCTATCTCCCTCTATCTCTCTGTTCCTCCTTTGTTCCACTCTATATCCCCATTTCTCCCTTCCCACCCCCGTACCCCACTTCTTCTATTTCCCCCTATTTCTCCCCTTTCCACAGTTACCGAGTGATATAAGAGCCTCCCAAATCCGAACAGGCATGCAGCTACTATACCTTCAAGAAAGCCCCCAAACCAACAGGACTTGAATGAAACTTAGTGGAAAACTCAGTCCTTTATTACTTACAAGAAGTTAGTTAGATGTTAAAGAAGTTAGAGCATAATCTTGACAGAAGCGACTTAAAAAAGTTGTTCACATCAACAGCTTCTACAATAGCACCCCCTTTCCGTCTCAAAGAAAATGTTTTTCATCAATTTCAAAGGGAAATAAGTAAGCTCTGTAGTGTGATACCAATCTGCAGCGGGAAATGTGAAAATGGGAAAACAACCAGCGATAATTGACAAAATGTTTTCATACGAACACTTACTGCTTAAAATTATATATATTCTCAAACATGCGTGTGGGTGATAAAAGGGTCACATACCGCCGATGATTCTGGTAGAAGTTGTCAAGCTGATAGTAAACATATATTGGTGACTTCATATTTTTTGTGACCTGCTTAAAAGTAAATATAACAACATTACAGTGTGAATTCCATTATCTATTAAGTATTTTAACAGAACTTATACTATGACCAGCAACACATCCTCTCCCTACCCCCTGAATAGTTAGAAAACATGTATTCTACAAGGAAAAGTTCTACTATGGCTCCCCTAAAAATAGTAACGTCCAGATGGTTCCCAAAACGTTAAGTTTTGTATATATTATCTTGATATTAATCGACCTGAAATGACAAAAATATTACTGATTGTTACTTACTATTTACATATGGCTTTCCAAAACATTAAAGTTGGTAGCATGCATATGATGATCTTTATATAAATTTACCCTAGACAAAAATGTACACCTTTAATCCTAATTATAAGACCCATTTTATAGTGTAACTTAAGTATAAGACCCATTTTGTAGTATAAATTATTACACTACAAATGGGTCTTATATTTAGGATCGAAGGAGCATTATTGATTGTTACTTGCTATTTATCAACAATAAGCTACATCAACTAAAGTTTTCAAGAATAATATGAGTAAGAAAAAAACCTCCGAGAAACTCACTCTATAATTTAGCTATAGGAAATTTAGGAAAGTAGAATCACATAAAAGACTTTTCCTTCCACTCTCCTGTTTATGCAGAGACTAAAATGAGAGTGAGAATCACCAAGTTCACTAATCTCTCTCTCTCTATTCCCCCCCCCCCCCTCCCTTTCCTTTTCCTCATTTGTTTAGTCACCCAGCATTCAGTTTTTTAACTTTCACTTTAAGTGTTTTGTTTTATTATTTAATGGTTTCTACTTGCCCTTTGCATTACAAATCTTTAGTTCCTCCTCACATATCAGTCTGATAAAGTGCTCTAATTTTTTATTGGCATTAAATTATCAACATATTTTACTTATTTTCAATTAAAATTAGTTTTCTAAGTAAGAGAAAGTTGGCCAACAAGTGTGATAAGATGAAATGAAATGAGACCTATCATGCTCCATTTTTGTTGTTTGTTGTGGCATTGTCTCAATGGTGATGGCTGTGTGGATCACAGTGCACTATTAGTATCACAAAATTGAATGCAATGTATTATCTCTTTCACAATAGCCTATATACTTTATTATATATATTGCAATGCTATATCCCTAATATAGTGTGTATTCTATAATGCTCAAAATTTAACCAACAACATTTATTGTGTATTACATCCTGAAATAGTTTTGGCCCCTTCGAGCAAAAAGTTCTCCCCCTGCCCCTATGACAATGATGAATACAAAATGTTAAGAAGAAAGGGGAGCCAATGGGACTTACATTTAGTGTCCGCTTGCATGTTTTATCGACAGAGCTCTGAATGTATCCTACTTTGTTGGTCTTAAAGTTTTCTGGTATACAATCAGAGTCATACCTATCAATAATTTCAACAACCTGACAGATAATAACATAATCCCACTCAGCATCATACATAACAGAAAGCATGAACACAAAACATAACTACAGTTGCCCATACATCATTTGAAGCAAATAGGCAAGCAAATCCGATAGGAATGAAGAAAACAGTGACAATCAAGAATGATGAAATAACCTGCAGGGAAATAAGTAAATTAGATACTAATCATAAAAGTATGAATTCAAAATATATGGTGATTAAAATATTATAATGGGCAACTAATATGGAAAGGGTAGAGTTACCGCTCGCGGGGTAAGAATCGGCTTGCATGCTGGAAGTTCTTGTTGTGTAAACTTCGAATCTAAAAGAGAACTCTAGTGTCTAGTCAGTTAGGTTATATGTTGGTAGATTTAACCCCAAAAAAAAAAAAAGCGACGCAAATGCAGCTGTCGTTAAAGCAGAAGATACTATCTAACTTGGAAGAACACCATTAGGACAACAAAACAATGTACATGTCATATACATTTCAACAACAAAGTTCAAATATTAAGTCTCAAAAGTTACAGTGGATGTTTATGCTCACAGATTAATCAACTATTTGGCACAATATTGCCTCCCCATTAAAAATTATGAGCTTGAGCAGCAGGTACAAGAACCTCTCTAGCACACACTAAGAATCAAAATAGGTGAAGCCAACATCCCAAACCGCCTCTCCCTCCTCTTCTCTCAGCACAATAACAAAATTTTATCACAAGTCGATATAGCAGACACACACTGGGGGCGTAAACATAAACATGATAATAGAACCATTCAAATGTCGGTATCTGCAAACTGAACTCTGGAAATCAAAAGAAACTATTCGAAATCAGTGAGTTTCAGAGATTAATACATTTGGGTCTCTTGGTATGTTTTCTGCCAATTGCTGCATCAGTGGATCCAGCACTTCCAGAACCTGTCGATGCCATATCCAAACCCAAAAATTCAAAGGCTTCTCCTTTTTCTCAACGCCGAAACAACAAACAGATGGGGATGGAAACCCCTCGGAATGTGGGGATGGGTAAACAGAAAATGCAATTGTGATGGGAGCAAATATGAGACTATGGTGAAGAGCCCTCTCTTGGGGATTCGGGTTTTACAAAGAAATGATAAATGAAGATTACAAAGGCCAGCCAATCACCACCCTCCCTCCCTCTCTGAGGAGAGAGACAGAAGCAGCTAAGGAACAGAGACGAACCAAAATAAAAATAAAAATAAAATAAAATAAAAATGAAAGAAAAGAGTACGATACAATCCCGGCTTTGGACGGCTTCTTTTCATTCATTTTTTTTACTTTTTTAAGAAAAATTAAAAAAAACTGTTAATTTTAAAATTTTAAATAAAAAATTATTATAAAAATATGTTTTTATTTATTTTTTGAGTATAGTTTTTTTTATGAGTATAGTAATTAATATTGATTTAAAATTTGGGATTTTTCCTTACTTTTAACTCCATCTGTCATTAATTATCAATCGAATATAATCATCAATATAATTAATTATTAATTAATACTATATCAAGACAATCAGTAGTATTTTTTTGGTCGAAAATACAATCAATAGAATTTATAGCAACTCATACACACATTTTATTCGGACGAGTAACCAGCATTGCATGTGAACTATCCAAATTGAAACCCATCCATCCCATTGAAATACTTAAACTGAGAATGAAATGAAATTCAATTACTATTTTATACTTTTTCTTATCCTTAGTATGAAAACTAATTGAAAAATTAGGTTTAATTTTAAATATAAAACTTCAATTTACTTTGTCTTTTATATTATTTAAACTAATTTATTAACTTATAGACTGATATATAATCTAATATTATATATAAGTATTTTACAAATATCATATTATATTTGTTATAATTAAATTATATTTATTTTTTTAATTTATTCAAATTAATTAAATAACTCTCATATTAACAATACAAGGTAATATTTCAAGCTGTGATTAATGTAAATAAAAGCTAAAAAAAAATGCCTTTTTATCTTTAATATAGATCTATTTAACTAATTTGATTAAATTAAGAAAATTAAGTTAATTAATTATAAGAAAGATGACATTTTTTTCTAAAACACCATAATCATTTTTCTTAATATCCTCTTCCCTCTTCTACTTGATTATAGTTGAGGGAATATCTATAGGGGTAATTTAGAAAAAAATAATAAATATGAGAAATAAGTTTTATATTTAGAATCAAAATCAACTTAACAATTAGGTCTTGTATTAAAGACACGAGGAGTATATAATAAAAGCATCTGCTTGCTGGTTGCATCTTGTAATTTCAGATAGGCACTCTCTTGCTTTTGGTAAGCCAGCAAATCCGCCGGTATCATCAAAGCTTCTTCACATATCCTTTTTGTGATGAGATTAGAATATTTTAAATAGCTCATGAGAAGATGAGATCACATTTACAAGCAAACTAAGATAAAGTCCAAATTGGTTAGTAGAGCTTCTCATAACGCTGACATTGACACCTGACAAGTAATACTTCCTCCGTTTTTTATTATAAGAGACGAATAACCGAATTACGTTGATAAAAAAACAGTTAAAATTAGTTAAGAACAATCAATGTGAAAAAAGTATAATTTCTTTTTCAAAAATACTCTCATTAATAAGGAGAGAGAACATGAGAGAGAACAATAGTAAATTATTAAAAGAAAGAGAAGTGAGAAGAAGAGAGTGTGTGAGTTGGAGGCAATAAATATGAGTAAAATAGGAAATCAACACAAAAAAGTAGAGACAACTTTTAAGTGTCTCTTATATATAGAAACATGCCATAAATATCAAATGTCTCTTATAATAAGGAACGGAGGGAGTAACTTGTAAGCTGAGCCTCTTGAATTCCCCGGCCACCCTAAGTGAGCCTGCAGGGGCCTAGGCTGAGTGCTACCAAAGTTCATAATCACTTTGGGAAAAAAAAGAAAACAACTCCTTTGCGTCTTATGTTTCATCATTTTCAACCATTATTAACTTTAATTTAACATGCTTCTCCATATTCTTCTCATTTATTTATTCATTTCTCATCTCCATGCTTCGTTAATTATCTTCTGAGCTAGAAAGAAGTCTCAGGTTATGTTTTGGGGATTCTCATTTCATAGGCTCAAAGGCAGTGGTCATTGATATGCATTATTCTACCCATTATAATATGATGATTAGGGGCCTCATCATGAGTGATTTTAGCTTGGAACATTGTCTCACTTCTTCTCCAGAGAAGCCAACAAACGAGAGCAAAATATGAGCCCCGAGAGGCTAAGACAAGTTCCGTTCACTATTCTACACTGTCAAATTCCATCTAAGCCACTCATGCAGATAAGTACTAAAGAATCTGGGCATATCACGGTAGGTAGCTATCCGGCTTGCTGCGCATGTCTTCCAAGTTTTAGAATGGTAGCAGTATAAGGTATATTTTCAGGAAAATGGTGGTAAAAGTTGTTCATTGATTCCTCAAACATGTACCAACTTTGGATCATTAAATTCTGGTTTCCAAATGTTTTTTTGCCATATGTTTAGTTTGGACTTTGGTAGCATTTATTGTGTAAAGTTTTTCTATTTCAAGGTCCAGTGAGGTCCGTTGTTCACTGGAGCTCATATTCTGTTGCCGGACATGAGAACAACCAAATCCCAGCACATCTAAGAATTTGAGAGCAACATATGAATGATGGTTAAAGGTTGTCTCTTAGTCAAATATATAATTCCTTTAGATTAAAAACTGACCAAGAGCTTAGCGGCATGATTTGTTCTTTTTTTTTTTCCTGTGATTTTTTTTGAATGATATTTTTATGTGATTTTTTGTATAATTTTTTCTACTTCCACCTTTTCCTTGTTGTTACAAATATATTTTCATGACTGTTTCCAACAATGATTTTTTTTTTTTAAGGTGGTTGAATTAAAGGGGCCATCTTTTTGCTTCTTTCGTGGCCAACCTTACAGTAAATTGTTAATTGGCTGTGTGAATAGTTATCCGAGCACAAGGCTCGTTCAATTCAGCGAGAAGAGAGAGAGCGTCAGGTTCTGCGATCATACTATCAGCGACTACACATATATTACGATCCATCCAAATCCAGTGTAGCAAACAACGAAGGAAGCTTCGCTGTAGCAACCGAAAAAGATCGAAGAAATGACTCTGGCTTTCGCAGCATTGACCTTACGCTTATCACCAATGGGATCTTGGAAGCTCATCCCTCGCTGTTCACTCTTGCTTTCCATGCAGACCACCACTCCTTCCTTCTCTCGCCAGGCAAGTGCAGCTTTTTTCTTCATATATCTATATGCTGGTCTGAATACTCTGCAATGAGATACACTATATCCATTTCGTGGATTCTGAAAAAAATTTGCAAACGAAGTTTGCCATCGCACGTACAGCCTCATCTTTATAAGCCCACAGTGTGCAAATCTCTTCTAGTAATTATGTTCTGTCGCCCTTTTATGTTATTCGTAATTAGAAGAGGTTTTATGGCTACTGAATTTCGATTACAAACTTCCACTATTTCCCCCTCTTCTCTCCTGCCTGTATGCTTGCATATGTCAGCTATGTTCACGAGACGTACAGGCAGCCTGCATCTTTTGAAGTCTTCTATTCAAATGTCATGATTGAAAAAAGAGTCCATTTTTGGGTGAAAGAAGTTGAATTGAAATCCAGTATAGATTTTAACTACCATTGATAATTTTTATTCGACACGCTTGTCACGTATGCATAAAGTTTTGACAGTTTAGTGTCTAAATGTGGAGTTTGAATTCCAGATGAGCATGGATGCAAAAAGTGTTGCTTCACAGCTTAATAGTTCTGGTCTGTTGCGGACTCAGGGCCTTGTTGGAGGCAAATGGAGTGATGCCTACAATGGCAAAACCATAAAGGTACGGCAATTGCTATTATGATGGCAAGACCACGAATCTCTTTGATATGGTCGGGAAAAGGTGTTGGGTTTAGCTATTTTTTTTGGATTACTCCATCCGGTATCCCAGGGAAATAGGCGTCTTTCAGCCGTGACAACGTCCCCAGACTAATCCGGATTCGGGGGCTTGCAAGGATCCATACGGACGGCGCCCCCTGGCCCCTTGGAGTGCTGCGTTCCCACGTCTCGAACCCGAGATCCGTGGTTAAGCTAGGACGACCCCAGCCAGTCGACCTAACCCCGCGGGTTGGGTTTAGCTATTTTAATTCTTTTATCATTAATTTCTTCTGATTGTGTTAGTTCTTGGCAAATCTTCTTCAAACGTTTAATTGTCAGGTTTTGCAGCCCCATCGCTAGCTCTTTTCTTCCTATTTTGTTTAAACTGAAAAGGAGGATAGGTAGTTTGTACTTTTATCAGGTGATACTGCTGAATTTTTCTTCACCCTCTTTATTTGAGAAGTCTGGAGCTGCAATTTCAGACACCTGTTCTTGTCTGTCTTAGATACCCCTTTGTTTTATTATTCTATGATGTTCGTAAGAATCTTTTAAATTTTACATTAAAATTTTTCAATGTCATGCAGGTTTATAATCCAGCAACTGGTGAATCTATAGCAGATATTGCATGCATGGGTGGAAGAGAGACGAACGATGCGATATCCTCAGCCTATGATGCATATCAATGTATGGGATTTCATACTTTCAGGATATATACTTTGATTGAGATCAATGCAGGAACATTATGGAAAATCGAGATAATATACTCTCATAATTGTTTGAATGTGTTTGTATGTGCTTAAATGACATTAAATAGCTTAAGCACTTAATTATGAGCTTCAACACTAAATTGTGTCTTTTCCACACACTATTTCGTGTGTCTGTGTCTAGCTTTCTCTGGGGGAGAAATCAACCCAGTGAAATTTTAGGCCTGTTGTTTTCTGGACATGTTTTGTTTCTTTAGTTGCTCAAAGTTCTTCCCAAAAATTTTTCCTTTTCTTTTTCTCTTTTATCGTAATCTTGAGGATAGGCGCAAAGCTAGAAGCTTTCCGGCATACAAAATGAAAAAAGTAATGAAAAGGAAAAAGAAATAAGCAAGATGACTTTTGTATCGCTCCTTTTGAAAAAAAAGGAGAATAAATATCATTGAGTAATGATAACAGGTGCATATATAGCATATATCGTTTCTTGTGCGAGCAAAATGGATCAAACAGGCCTTGTTGCATTTTATGTTTGTTTATGGTGAAAGGACATGCATAAATTTCCAATTTTCAATCGCATTTCAATTAACATAGTTCGACATTAGTACATATGATATTCCTATAGCATGGTAACTGGGATACGTTCACCAATTTATATAACATATTTTAAAGATGCACTTGCATGAAATGAGTGGTTGAATTATTTTAGATTTATAGTTGGTGGTGATTTTAATCTGTTTTGATTTGGTTCAATGGTGTAGCTTTTGATATGTTATTCCCCAATTTCCCTGCGCTGATATGTTTATGATGTTTGGGCTCTTAGTTCCACTTTCATCTCAATCCATGTATCTGTAGATACTAAAAGGATTTATTGCTGTTGGTCTCTTTTGGTTATGTAAAATATATAAATAGATAAACGTCCTTATGTGCAGCTTGGAGCAAAACCACTGCTGCTGAGAGGGGTAAACTTCTGAGAAAATGGTATACTTGGTTGCTGTTGAATTTATAAACCACCTGATTTTAAGGAATTACACCAGCTATCTGGTGATTGTGTGACAATTTTGTCTACTGTTCGTCTACTTTGATTTAGATATTTCTGCCATACATGCTACCTCTTCATGCGGTATTGGTACAACATATATTGTTTGATTCTCAGTGTTGTTGTACTACGTGGAAATTGCTTATCTGATCCTCCTGTACGTAACTCCCTTTAGCTACTATTATTCAAAGAACTCTCACAAGGTTTGGGCAACGTCAGCATTAAACCTGTTGACTGCAAATAGGTATATAAATTTAATTTAAAGAAGGAGAGAACATGAAGGTGGAAATATTTATGTTATTTTGATACAATGGCAGGAAGCTTTTCCATATTATTACATTGAAAATATTCCTTTGATTTTCACATAATGTGGCAAAAAATCGGTGGAATGGAATGACTGTGTGCATTGTGCAACAACATTTTTTGCCAACTGATCAAACCAATATTTTCTTTTGGCGCATTTGGTTAGTAGCAGGGCCATTTTTTTCACTGTCCACTTGCATAAATATGTATATGCCTATACACGCATCTCTTCGCATCAATGTTGTTGAATGTTTAACATCATATTTTGTATTTACTTTTGGTGAGAATTGATAATAAATCTGAAGCTATGCTCTTATAAAATTTACTCATTTAAACTAATTTAAAAAGAAAATAAATAACCGGAAATTGCTTATATCATTCAGTTGTCTTTAATAAAAAAGGGGCTTACTCTGCTGCTAGTGTTTATAGAAAATTCTCTAGTATGTCTCTGAGTAGCATAAGATATTAGGTTATGTTCTTGGGAAATTATACTTCTTAGCACTTATCCTATTGAAGCATTTTAACTTGAGCTACTTGGTTAGGATTGCCACAAGATTGTATACTCTTCATCTTCCCCATTTACTCTTTTTTCCCTTGATTTGCCTAGGCTTGTGCTCTTTATGTCTCAGAAGCATAGGTCGCAGCCTTTATGTCTTTGCTTAAGTTTATGCCTTTGAATCTCAGTGGCTTTAGGTACATTTCTTTTCTAATGGGGTTCTCAAATCTCAGTGCTGTTAGGCTCTGATATCGTGTTAACTTTTGTATAGATTTGTGTTTGGACTTATCCGTGTCACCAAAATAGCTTAGACTACTTGGTTAGGATTGCCACAAGCTTTTACACACTCACACACACACTTACACTTCATTTTGTTATTACTTTTGGATGTCAGACTTCTATTCTCCAACGCAGACATGATGACACACTAGATGTGTATTGATATGTTGTATTGGACACCTGTAAAACAGAGGCAGTATATCTTATTATTTCACTGTAGGGATTACGCCAAGATATATACAACAAGAGGAAAGCAGGGATCCTAAGATATAAGGAAAAAATCAAGGAAAAGATGGGAGACTGTGATGCATATTCAATCTACCTGAGAATCTCTCTCCTGTAATCAGGAATTATTATACTAGATTATCTATATTTACAAACCACAATATCTATACAATTACAGATATAAGTCATGGAGTTTAATTTGCTTATTTTTTGGTGCTGACAATAATTTCATGCTGTTAAGTTCCTCCTCGTTGCTTTCAAGGTATGATTTGCTAATGGCACACAAGGAAGAGCTTGCAAAACTTATAACCTTAGAGCAAGGAAAGCCTCTTAAAGAATCTATTGCTGAGGTACCATAGATAGCCTTTTGGGCATTGCCGCATTGAATACTTTGTTATTTGGTTGGCATGTCATTTTAGGATTTTCTTTCCCATTCTTAAATATTTTCCCCAGTTGATTTTCATTATTCACATCGCTTAATGAAAGTGACTGTCTGCAGGTAAATTATGGGGCTAGTTTTATTGAGTTTTCAGCAGAGGAGGCAAGGCGCGTATATGGAGATATAATTCCTGCACCACTATCTGATCGACGATTATTTGTTTTAAAACAGGTGAACTTGGTATTTGTTTGGCGTCTTAGTTTTCACAGTTTTGTAGCTTTCTATGCAATATTATTATTCATGCATAGTTACAATCGGTTGTGCTGTGTGCGCTCGAGGCATTAAGGAAGGAATATCAGTCTGCACCCAACGCAATGCAATGCGCTATAATAAGTGTAGTTTGATATTCACTATCACAACTCATGTCAAAGCATTGGGGTTAGATTTAACATTTCTAACACAAAATTCAATGTGTTTACTTCGTTCACTTATATGTATGTGACCAAAATGAACAAGGTGCCTTCTGAATTCATGGCTTTTATTACTTATTAATTTATTTACATTAAGTAAAAAGTCTCAATAGAGTTGCATCTAGTTAAGAAGCAACAGCTAAAAGATCTCTCTTGTACATTAAGAGGAGATCACTATAATTAAAAACAATTAGCAAAACAGAAAAACTGTTCCTCAAGCAAGTGGTTGTTTTGACTAAGCCTGCTTTCTTCTCCGCTGCCTTATCCCTCTGGAGGAGTCAACAGTCAAGCCTGACCACTCTCCATGTTATCCCTTTTAAACATGACATCCTTGACCGTCAAACCTACAATGAAACATACATGTCTCCAATGTGCATAAACCTTCATAATGCCGTACCTCCCATAAATTCTGCCCAATACACCGTGCACTGAATTTGCAGGTAGTGCCTATGTTCTTAGTCATGCCTGTCATGAATTTTAATTGACAACTCTGAGCTTCACGTGGATAGACCCCTAACAGTTTATATAGACTTATCTTACATATTCCTCCTTTCATCCAATTGCTCTGCAAGCACTCTTTCCTAAATTTTCCAAAATCCTTTCAAACTCAGTATGAAAAGAGTTCCATTTACCAAGAGACTTTGCTTTTAGCCTTTTTATCTCAAATGCACTTCCACTGTGAAAGCTAAGAAGGTTCACAACCAAGCTTTCTTGTCTTACTAAAGGCTTACTAGAGCTTCACATTTCTCCTATCAGGTTACCCCTGGCAACTGGTGCATTTAAGTTACACTGTACCTCCCAAATTTGAAATTCTTTCCCCCATTACTCAATCATACTCTTAAATGCCTAGTGCGCATTTTCAAAGGGTCATCTAATGCTTCGGAATATGGGTTGCACTAGATTGGCATACAGTTACAGTTGACATACAATAACACAAGTTATATTAAAAAACTTAATTTGAGTGCATAGAGAGGTACAGAGGAGCAGGATTTGTTTCTTCTTTTTGCATGTTAACGTAACTCTTGTTCTTTGAATCATCTTCTGGTGATATATGCAGATTATATTTTGCTGATTTCTTTTGCTGCTTCATTGATCATATAGCTTTTCTGTATAATCTCAATACATCATTTAAAACAATGAGATTGGGGATTGGTTTGGGTATATAAATATGTACTTTTGTATCTGGTGCCTTGCTGCTTTCATGAGCTCAAAATATTGGATCTACACAGTGTCACTAAATTTTGAGCATCTGGGTTAGACAGACATTGTTATCATATGCATGTGCTTTCTATTTAAAAAGTTAATATTAAATGGCATCTAACTGCCACTACATATTTGTGTCTTTAGTGCCTCTTCCTGACTCTTTAGACTTTTGCTTGGTCATTGTTACTTTGCATGCCATGTGTCTATTTTGACTTTTCATGGTTGGACAGTTTTTGGTCGTCTTATGTAGGTTATTTTAGATTGAGATTTTACTATTTCTCTTAAAACATGAAATTCTAGCATATAATTCTAATATTTAATATTGGCCCATTTTTCCTAATGGACGTCAATTATAGCCTGTAGGGGTTGTTGGTGCTATCACACCTTGGAACTTTCCTTTGGCTATGATTACCCGAAAGGTAATTCCATTTAGAATTTTTAGTGTTGAGAAGTTCACATGCATGTTCAATTGTTTTCAAGAGCAATGATTAGTAAACGGCAATCACATAAAAAATGTGTTGTCTTATGTTAGGTCGGTCCAGCCCTTGCATGTGGCTGTACAGTGGTCGTTAAGCCCTCTGAACTTACTCCTCTCACAGCTTTGGCTTCAGCAGAGCTTGCGATTCAAGCTGGAATACCAGCGGTAGTTTCTTTCTTATACATATAATGTTATGACATAACTAGAGTTCATTATCTTCAATGTGATATTTTCCCCTGTTTTTTTATGTTCTAGTAAGTTCATTTGTAGTTATGTAATGCATGTGATGTTAATAAGAGTTCCTAAAGATTTAACTATTGTGTAATTTACAATTTACAATGCCTCTGTGTCAAAATTTTTATTACATTTATGGTTTTACTGAGCGAGATTTTTCAATTAACAATACATCTAAAGATTTGGCCTTGGATAGAGTTCAATGGCGTTGTACTATCATGTAGCCGACCTACCTAGTGGGATATATTTTTGTTGTTGTTGTATGGTTTTACTGTAGTTCCCCTCTTCAAACACTGCTAATATAGAAGCCTACTGTAATTTTGTTTTTTCGGTTGGTTCAACATGTCAGTTGTTGCAGTTTGTCCTTGTAGTATGTACTCCATGATTGTGGATCTTACACAGAGGACACCTAGAGTAAGTCTGCTTATACAAAAAGAAACGATAAGTTGGCTCCTTTATGAGGGCCTCAATCATCATCAATTTCTTCTGGTAGATTGCATAAATTTTACACGAATCAACCTTTTGGTTTTACATTTTATATCATGGCTTATGTTTATAAGCTTCTTTCTGCCTGTTTCTCCTTTCTTTCTTGCTCCCATGAACAATCTTTTCCAGTTCCTCTCTGTCTTTCGTGTGATTCTAATGGTCCTAACATTTTATTGGTACAGGGTGTTGTGAATGTAGTCATGGGAAATGCTCCTGAGATTGGGGATGCTATACTTGCAAGTCCACAGGTTCTATCTCCGTGTTGTGAATGTATTAGGACTTTTAAGGATGCAATCTAAACAAGTTTATTTCCACATCAAAATTGTTTAGGTAAGGAAAATCACATTTACCGGCTCAACTGCGGTTGGAAAAAAGTTGATGGCAGGTGCTGCTGGAACAGTTAAAAGAGTAAGCATATATGCTGCCGTACATTTCCTAAAATACAGAATCTTGATTCCATTATGCTCAATTGATATTTTTCCTTCTTCCCCCCCCCCCCAATACTTTTCTAGGTATCTCTGGAACTTGGTGGCAATGCCCCTTGCATAATATTTGATGATGCTGATCTTGATGTGGCAGTAAAAGGAACTGTAAGTAAAAGGAACTGTAAGTTAGAAATGATGTCCATGCATATGGTGGTTATGACGATTTTGTCTAAGATGCTATTTTATCTGTACGTGTCATGGCTAACTTCAACATTTCTATGCATGCAATGCCTAAAATCTTTCATAATGTATCAAGTGATTAATTGCCAAGAAGCTCATTTCTTACATGGCACTAGCCCAATCTTTAAGAGTGAGGTGAATTGGATGTCGAGAGTTTGAGAGTTTGATACCTTGCCGCACGTTTTCTATCCCATCCATACTCCCATGGCCTTGAGGTCTTCTTTGTTCCCAAAATATGGGAAAAATAATCATAACCTGTTGTAATCCGTAATAGATATATATATTTTTGAATTACTAGAACCTAGAAGTATGACTTGGTTTTTGGAGAAGCGCTCCTTCTTGATTTGTGTCAAAGGTGTATAAGAATCTCCGTCCTCCGAGGATATGATTATGTTTATTCATTAATTGCAGGTTGCAGCAAAGTTCCGTGCTAGTGGACAAACATGTGTATGTGCAAATAGAATTCTAGTGCAAGAAGGTTAGATTAATAAACTATCTATTTACAATTACTCTACCTGTTTCTCTTCAAGTGATTGTTGAATGTTTGCTGCCTGTGAATTCGTGTGAGGACATTTTAAACCAAACCCCTGCCCTCCACCCCCCCCCCCCCCCGGGGAAAAAAAAAGAAAACTCAGAGATGACAAGGTAAAAAGGAGAGGAAGAGGCAGTGGTTCAGTCATATCTATGATAATCTTGTATGATATTTCAATCAAATGAGTGGCGTCCTATTTTGGACACATTGCTTTTCTCTCTTTCGTTTTACTAACCAATCTTTTCTGTGAAGGTATCTATGAGAAATTCGCAACTCTTCTCCTTGATGCTGTTAAGGATATGAAAGTTGGGGACGGTTTTAGTGAAGGTGTGGTTCAGGTATATTTCCCCCCTTATTTTCAGCTGGCTTTCTGTGGAGATTGCTTTTCTTGCCTCCGTACTGTGTTAACTATTATGTTTAGGAGCCCTGACTATCTTACAATCGCCAGTATGGATATGATATTTCGATCTTCCACTCTTGTAGTTGTTTTTCTTGTCACTAGTCTTTAGAGCTCTCTTCCAGATTAAGATTTTACATGATAAGCCTTCTAGTGTATGGTATGACCCAATTGTTCATTCTAAACAGGGACCTCTAATCAATGAAGCTGCTGTGCAAAAGGTTTGTCCTCCTCTTGGTAATATTGTTTCTGTTATGCAATATGGCTGGGTGTCTTCTCTAACTTGCTCAGACGATCTTTGTGACCTTTGTATATAATGACAGGTTGAATCTTTACTTCATGATGCCATCTCTAAGGTTTGTTCCCTTTTCCATTCTTTACAGTGATTCTACACTTTTGTTTTTTTTTTGGGTGAAAACAGTGATTCTACACTTTATTTCTGTTATATTTCTTTGGTACGTTCTTCTTAGTCTGTTGAACTTGAATAATGAAGCTACTATAGGCTAATTAACATCTCGTGTCTGTCAACAAAATGCACTTTTGATGTGCAGCTCATGTCTCCTCAAGGATTGCTAACTCTTGATTGGATAATTTTTGCATTTTTATATTATCTTGTATTCAAAAGTAGGAGATTTTATCCATCTAAGGTATTTTTGGCACTAAATTGGACGCTTGGACCAAAATGTTAAATGTGGTTTGTTGGCTAAATCAAATTTATGCTGTTCTTTCTTTCCTTTTTTAGGTAAACCTTGTAAGATAGATGAGCATGTAAAATAGCATTATCTGGTAAATCTGATTATGTATTCCCTTTTTATGTGAAGGGGGCAAAAGTAATTCAAGGGGGCAAAAGACACAGCCTTGGATTAACTTTTTATGAACCTACAGTCGTCACTGATGTCAACAACGAGATGCGCATATCAAGGTAAACCTTTTAAGATGATATCGTGTGATTCTGAGTTTTTGCTGTTCAACACTTCAGACTTCTGAGTTTACAAACCATTTTTATTTGAACAAATATTACCTTGACACATGTCAGTTAGATGTTATAATGTGATTGTGATTCGTTGCTGTTTAACATATTAGACTTTCGTAGCTACGAACTGTTTTTATTCAGCAAAATATTACCTTGATGTGAATCGATCGGGTTGAACCTTCTCTTTATGTCAAATTCAACTTGTATGATTTTTTAGAGAGGAAGTATTTGGACCAGTTGCTCCTCTGTTGAGATTTAAAACTGAGGAGGAGGCTATCAAAATCGCCAACGACACTAACGCAGGTTGCTTTCACTGCTATCTTTTTTATTTTTGTTTTTCAAGCAGCCCTGTAGCGAGCTGTTGTTTTTCTTCCATTATATGCTATTTTCACCATACCATTCATTGTATAGTATTGACAATCAATATTTGTTGCCTGTGTTATGGGATCTTGCTCTGAACATGCATGAAGGGTTGGGTTCATATATCTTTACAAACAATGTTCAACGCTCTTGGCGTGTTGCTGAGGCTCTTGAATACGGACTCGTCGGTGTAAATGAAGGAATAATTTCAACAGAGGTGCTTCTTATTGCATATTCACTAAGAAATAAATGGAGATATATTTCTGGATGGACTTATTTACCTGTAATCATTGATACAGGTTGTTCCTTTTGGCGGTGTTAAACAGTCTGGCCTTGGAAGAGAAGGCTCCAAATATGGCATGGATGAATATTTGGAGGTAAGTGCGACTCTAAGATGTCGTGTTTTTTAACCCTCTGGTTCGGAAATCAGAACTGATTCATGATCATACCCTACCATCATCAATTGCAACTTAGGCAGTTTTTTTTTTGTTTTTTGGGTCATAATCCGCACACCCATTGTGCCTTTTACCTCACAACCTCATACTTATGAAAGCCTCGAGGGCAGTTGAATCCTTGGAATCTTGCCCAATGACCATTTTCACGTTGATTTTATGCACCTACTGACACTTTCAAGCTCTGGAAGCGTTGTGGAAATTAAACAGTATTGTTATAGTATAGTTCAAAACCTTTCCCAGTAAAAAAGCCTCATAAGCTGTCAAATTTTTACATATAACCCCTTGTTAATATCCATTATTTTATTAATAGAGCATAATATGTTATTGACTATACACCTTAAATTTTATTCATGTATCGATAGCCCCCTTAATATTTGAATTATTTACAAATAGCCTTTTTAAACTTTGTCATATGCAAATAAATCCTCTATTTTGTTGCATATCACGTGCATTTTCATCTATGAAATAACGCAAGGGAGTTACATGTATAAATTTAAAAGTTTATTGGGGCTTCTTGTCAAGTTCTAAAGATCAAAAAAGTTGTCTGCAGATAACCAAGATTCAAGGGGTTTGTCTATGATTTAGACTTTGTGAAACATATAGAATATATTACCTTATCATTTATTTTGTCTATTTTCACAAAATTTAAGCTGATAATAACATAAAGATCTTCACTTATCAATTATCAGATCAAATATGTCTGCTTGGGAAACATGAACAAAGACTGAACTGCAAGGCATTGTCGTGTTCCGATTCCAAGGTATGATCATGGGCAATGGTGAATAAGCTTTTCAAATGCATTTGGAGAGTTTGGAAGAGGGTGTGATTCTTGTGTGTCGCCATTGCAGAGGAAGCATGCAGAAGCATCGCCTGTGTGTATATAAATAAGTGCAGGCTGGGAATGTACTTTTGGACTAATTTACGTCTTGTCAGTATCTTTTCTTCTGCAATGTTACCTCTGAGGCACTTTGTACGAACAAGCTTCTCGCAAGTTTTTCGCCCTTCTCTTTTCTCTTGCATTCATGTTTGAGGGACGTGAAGCTGAAAATGCTGCAAATTGTTGCAACTTTTACTGTGACATGGTTGTCATTGTTTTCATAACTTGCTCGACCCTTACAGGAAAAATTAGGTGAGACTACCAACAATCTGTTGGTTAAGATGATAACCGATCTTCTCGTAAGAAGAAGAACACAAACTTAAATTTCAAGAAGCATACTTGTTGGAGGGTTTTAATCTTAATACTCCCAGCCAAACTGAGATTAGTTTCAAATCTAAAATGATTTGAAGATACTCTAAATTATACCAAAAATTAAGTGAGATTTTTCATGAGTTGCTGTATGGTAATAGGACATAAATAAACATTACATGTGAGGGATAAGAAGATAAGCATCAAAAAAGTATTAAATGATTCTCAAGTGAAAAAAAAAAAACAAAGAAAGAAAAGAAAAGAAAAGAAAAGAAAAACAAGACCAGCACGAGACATTGAATAAAAGCCTTGAAACCCTAGAAGATTTTAAACTTTAAAACACCTAACCCTGTAGCATGCAAAACCCTGGAACCTTAAATTACAATTTCATAAAATAGAGGCTCTATTTATGCAGAAAGCCTTTCTTTTTTCTTTTTTTTTGGGGGGGTAATTATATTTTTTTAAAAACTGATAATGAGTCTACTAAATTGATTGCTACTATTAGTGGAACAACGTTTAGCTAAATAATATTTACACGAGTCATATCAATAATAATCATTGATACATTCCCACTGCTTAATCCTACACCTGAAACTAAGAATTGGTAGGTTTGAACCACATGGCTACCCTATGGATCACACGTTAATCTCATAATGTGTGGTTTACTTGGGATACCATCCACCAGCCAATCAAAATTCATTATCTGACTTTACTTTTTAAGCTGAGAAAAGCTCTGATAAGGACTCTGGAATGGAATGTCTATATAAATATATATATATATATATATATATAATATTCTGCCTTATCCTATTGCATTTTCAAGGGCATGCATCCCACACACACATATATGTGAGTGTGTATGTGTGTGTGTATGGATACGAGATATCCATGGGCATTTTGTCATCAATATTTTTACGTATAGTACATAGAGGTAGGGGCTTTTCCGAATATTAGGCTTATTGCATACACACGCCCACACACATATCAACTCTAATTTTCATCAATAGATTCTTCAAAAGATTCATGTGTACATATGAACTAATTTCTCCTGGGTCAAAAATATATTTATTTATTGATAAAATTCTGGTATGTGATTGTATTTCCTGAGTAGTCTACTCTGCAACGCATGATGAGTTGCATTAAATATTTATATGTGATATGTATATGCGAGAAAAATGAGATATCTTTTTAATTACTCCTTCTGAACCTCTTTATAAGAACTAAATGAGAGTCTTTTATTAGTCTAAATACTCCCTTCCATCCCATATACAGCGTAGGTGGTTTCCCCCCACTTCCTTCTTATAAGTGAGCATGATTTGCTTTTGTCTTTTGTCGAGGCATCTTTTAAAATGTGTTTTTTTTATCCCTTCTAAAATGTATTTAATAGTTTTAATGAGTATTTTTTTTTTATATACGACAATATTTAATAAGAGTAGTAAAAGAGAGTATAAACTTATATGTTGAAGTTTAGTATAACTAATTAATAAGGATATAAAAATAATTTATGACAAATATAATACTTTTAACTATATTGCTGCATATGAATTAATTAAAAATGGCTTAAATTTGGGAATAGATGGATTACAATTAAAAACTTGACGCATTTATTAAAATTGTCCTTTTTCACCGTCATTAATTAAGTATACCTATGTTAGCATCATTAAATTCTCACCCACCGCATGCTGGTAATTAATTTAGTTCTTAATATAAGAACTAGGTTGATTTTCAATTTGATCCTAAACATAAGATCCTAATTCATTTTGTCTATCATATTTATTTATTTTTTCAAGATAATTCTTATAACAGTTGTACTTGTTAAAGGCTTCATCAAATTGTAGTTCTAGCTAATACACATTATTAGTAAGAGTATTTAAAAAAAATCACTGATTTATTACAAATAACTAATTTAACTATTTTTTTTAATTTACTCAAATTAATCAACTAGCTCTTATATTAAGAACTAGAGGTAGTATATAGGTATTTTTAAGAAAACAAATAAACTTCAAACATATTTGTTGATCTTAACTATATTATATTTATACGTCCATATGAAACAATTATTTACTTTTTATAGAAAGATTTAGATGGACCTCCACTCGTTGGAGTTGATAGAAAATGCTAAATAATAGGCACTTGAGCAATTGGTTATAATTTGATGACAATTGATCTTGTTTTATTTCTGTCACAATGCATAAGATGTTTTAAGAGCAACTGGCAGGGACCGATAGACCTCGTCGAATACCATTAAAAACCTTTTTTTTTCAAAAAAAAAGTATAAACTTTAAAAACATTAGTCATGAAATAATGACCTCTAATTAAGTCGCACTTATCAATGAAAAGTATTTTTGGAATAAGGTCATTAATAAGTTATTATTTTCTCTAAAACATCTTATATTATGAAACAGAAAACTACTACGACTACAAATTGGAATGGATGGAGTATTAATATTGATCAATTTGTCATGACGGGGTTCAAGTAGAAGATTCTCCTCATCCATGTTGTTTTTTTTCCTATTTACTAGGTTATATTAAATTATATTTTTATTTAAAAAGCATTGTAGCTATACTCGACTAAACTATCATTACTGATAAATAATAATTAATTTTAAACACAACTTAGGCTCATCGACATGGAATATTGGAATTTAACACAAAGATGGGACCCACAAGTTCACCTTCAAGAGGAATATATTCATTCATATGGAAGAATATATTCATAGGCATCCCATAAAGATGCTTAAAATTCAAGCAAACAGCCTCCTTCTCTCACTAAACCGAACCCACTTTTGCTACGTAGTACGCTCTCTCTAGCTTTTTAAAACACAATTAAAAAGAAAAGTGAAATCCTCTTGCTTTGCTTGGTTAAATCACAATGGCATAATAATAATAGTAGTAGTAGTAGTAGAAGTAGTAGCTACAAGTCTTAAGAAGAATCCCCACTTAATTCATTTATTTTTTGCTCTATTTTTAATTATTTGTACCCCTCAATTATATGAATGGACATGTTACCAATTAAATTACGGGCTTATAATAATTAGCATTCGAATAATAAAAGAGGAATATGGAGGCCACAAACTAGGTATAGTCTTAATCACATAGATTTTGTCTGTTTCAGATCAGATTTATTGTCCACTTGGAACTCATTGATTGGTTCAAATTGTCTATTTATGGTGGGCTGGTCAAAAATTGGCTCATGTGATAGGACAAATCAGCTGCAAATTCTGAAGGGTTTTGCAATAAAATAAGAGATTATATATGAACTAAGTAAGTTTAAGCATATTTTGTGTGCTACGAATTAACGCAATTAGTTTTTACACTTTCTGGAGAAAGGAATCTTCGTTTGATTGTCAAAGAAGAAAGCATTTATTCTCAGCTCAACTTGAGGCATTTCATTTATCACTTCTTTAATTTTTTGTCACAAATTAAAGGAGAAGTTTTTTTGCTTTAGTATTTTGTTGTCTTTTTGTTTTGTCTGGTAATCGTATAATTTTTAATAGACTAACTGAAGTGACAATTTGTTGAAAATTTGTCTGGTAATCGTATAATTTTAAATAGACTAACTGAATCGACAATTTGTTGAAAATTCATTACTGAGTCTATTCATCTAAGTCATAAATTTGGCACAAATTAAACCAATCAAAATTCGATTTTAAAAAAAAAACAATTCAAGGTTCCATTAATTTTGAATTTTTAAAAGAATATTTGTAATAAAACAGCATAGTTCATCCTATGCAAAATAAATTAACTCAGCCACCAGATTATTATATCATTAGATTTTATGTCATTTGTTTTTGGGGCTTGAAAATACAGTTTATTCTTCTATCTATATTTTGTGCTTCAATAAGCAATTATTAATTAGGTTTTGAGTGATATAAAGTTTTATGGAAGAAGAAGGTCCCCCACTGATGCCATGAAGTAATTTTACCAACCACATACCCTGAAGTTTTGGTTCCATTTTTCTTCTTTGTGCTTTCTCATCATGATGATAGGTAACACAATTTCATTTGGATCGCTCTTTATTTTGAAAATTAATATAAAAAGAAAAGAAAAGAAAGGAAAAGATACATATATTTGAACTCTTACATGTCTTGATTGTGAAGTATGAAAATCCAAATATTTGTTCAAATTTGAAAGTTCATATGGTGTCGATCGTTATGAACATGCAAAGATCAAAAGGGAAAGTTTCCATATTCATTCATAAAGATAGAACAACACGGAGAGAATATATATCATTACCTTTCTTTTCATATATTCATTTTTACTTTTAAATTAATTATACTCCTTTACGAATATAATGAATATTATACATAGATATTTCATCGACCTGGAAATAGAAATTTGTGTTAATTTAAAATAAACTGATTAAATTAATAGTGTTTGATGGGAAATAATAAACTGAAACCATAGTTTCAAATTACTTATCCAATCGGACCTAATTGAAAAGTTGATTAATCCTATATATGAAAGACCTATTTCACAAGGTTATCAATTTTTTTAAAATTAATCCTATTAAAGTCACACAAACAATAATTAAGCAGAAGAGGGAGTGAAGGAATCAAAGAAGATAATTATGATTTTTTTTTAAAAAAAACATATCATATTAACTTAACTAATTTAATCAACATTCTTAATTTGCTCAAATTATTAGTTCTTACATTAAAGACAGGAAAAGTATTTTAAATTGTTGTTATTAACAGAAAATAAATATTATCATCTAATTCAGTGAAATTATTTTGATCATATTTTAACCGAGGGAAACTTGTTTGTACTTTTATGATAGTACAAGAGAGACAAAGAGAGGGCGATTTCCCTCCAAGATTTTTGGGGCTAAAATTTTCCACAGTTAATGACCTTTACTTTGAAAAAATTATATTTCCAAAACTCGCATAATAATTTGGTGTCGATCGATGTTAATTCAGTACACGTAGTAATAGTCTCTTGATAATAATTTCACCACCTCGGGAAAAAAAAAAAGTTTCCCTATATATAGCAAAAACTCTTACATTATATATAAATATTTCAACGAAAATTTCGAGTTTTATTTGTTGCTTTATATTTGTCGAAGTGGGAGGGCCAAAATGCACTCACATTCATACTGATTACTTCTCGATATTTTCAAACTTACCCTTTTTTAGATGTAATTTTTCACCTCGAAAAATGCACTTCTCAACTATATTTTAATTAGATATAACTTTTCACCTCTAAACAAGAACAAAATTATACTGTGACAGATATTTTAAAGTGACCGCTGGAATAATTGATTGTTGATGACAAGCCAAATTAAAGCGCTCGATGTGGAGGGTATTTCAACAATCCAATAAATAAACAGATTATTCGGTCAAATATAAGAATGAAACTTTTCCGGCGAAGGAACCAAAAGCAAAATCGTTGAGTTATTTTATATATATTATTGGCTGTTTGATGGGCTCAGAATTATTATGCTAAAAAGGATGCCGTACTACGATATGACTCACCTATGCAGATCTCTTGAGGGGCTAGATGTGACTTACTTATTATGCATGACTTGTTTATGTGTACATCTTCATCATGACTATTAATTACATTTTACATACACATACATATAAATAAATATCCATGTAAGAAATTCTTTTGACTATATATCCACTTTTTTAACCAAAAATACATCAAATTAATTATAAAAATTAAAGAAGAACTAGTAATTATTTTTGTCATTTTATAACTCTTTTATTAAGTTCTACCAAATATATTTCAATTTGCAGCATATTCTAAAGACATACAAATCCTCTAGTTATACTTGGTTGTACATATATGTATATACACCCATACACATCTCCCTCTAGTGAGTATGTGTGTCCCTCTATGCCTACATGCAAAATTATATTTGAATTTAAAATACATGTATCTTTATGTGAAAATCCCTCCGTTTCAATTTATAAAATATTTTGTGAATAAATTGTGAAGAAAGATTAATCTTATTAGGTACAATTAAAAGCCTTAACTTTTTTACAATTTTAACCTTTAAAAATATTTTTTGTTATTTAATACTAACTCTTAGCTGACGAGGGATTTTCTTTTTTAATAAGATCATTAATAAATCATTGTTTCTCTAAAACATCTTACATTATGATGAAACACAAAACTACTCTGGAAAAACGTCTCTTATAAATGGAGATGGAGGGAGTAATTAACTATGCATAACACATGCTTAATTTAATAATCAAAACCAGATTGCAGGGAGAGGAGAGAGACACACACAGAGAGATTATCAGAGAGAGAGAGAGGGAGGGAGGGAGGGGGAATCTTTTTGGCAAAGGAAGGGTCTTCATGTTAGAATAATATAATGAAGAAGGAAGCTTTATTTATGTATAGTAATAATAATTAATATATTAATATGTTGTGATTTTATTTTTAATGTAAAATACTGATTAACTGGTCACCCCTAGCCATATGCTCTTTTATAGTTGAGGAGGGCAAACTAAAGGCATTTCAGATATCATATATCCCCACCACACACACACCTCTCTGCTCTTCAAATTAAAACGCACCCTATTCTTCCCCCTATTTGCATCGCATTTGTTCTTCTTGAATCTCTGCGTATTCTGATCTCCTCTCTCACTCACAGATCAGAGAGAGTCTCTCAGAAAAAGAGAGAGAGAGAAGAGAGAGAGAGATGGAAAGAATGTTCCCTCCAAAGAAGCCCTCAACTATGAATTCCCATGACAGACCCATGTGTATTCAAGGCGACTCTGGCCTCGTCCTCACCACCGACCCTAAGCCTCGCCTTCGTTGGACCGTCGAACTCCATGAACGCTTCGTCGACGCCGTCACCCAGCTCGGCGGCCCTGATAGTACGTACTTAATTACCACCTTAACTTCCCGCCCTCTTATATATATGTGTATATATAACGTTATTAAATCAGCCGAAAAGCTTATTGATAGATTAACTAGACTAGTTCTTGGTTCTTAATTAATTCCTGTTTCTGCGTGAAATTTTGCAGAGGCCACCCCGAAAACCATTATGAGGGTTATGGGTGTGAAGGGGCTTACGCTTTACCATCTCAAGAGCCACCTTCAGGTATGAACGAACACGTAATTAATTAATACTAATTGTTGATTCGCTTTTGCTTTTGAGTTTTGTTTATGTTTGGTTATGAGGACGCTTTTGATTTGGGACAGTTACTGCATGTTTTTCTGGGTGGTTTGATCTCGAGCTTGCTTTTTTTTTTTTTTTTTTTGCCCCCTTCTTTCGCTTTAATTTTGATGTTCTTTTTGTATCGTGTTGGTTTGTGTTTCGCAGAAATTTAGGCTTGGGAAGCAACCCCACAAAGAATTCAATGATCATTCCATTAAGGATAGTATGAGAGGTGACACTTCTTTTTCTAGGGTTCCTCAGTCTCATTGTTTTTTTTTTTTGGCACCTTCTTTTTTGATCTTTTTATATCTTTACACTTCATGATAGTTTTTTCCCTTTTAAATTTTTATTCACTTAAGCTTTTATATTACTCTGTGCAGCTTCGGCTTTAGAGCTTCAACGAAACACTGCTTCCCCATCGGCCATGATTGGTCGCAACATGAATGAGTATGCTCCCCAGTTCTGTTTTCTTCATTAATTTTAAAGCATTTAACAGGTTAATATGTTTCAAAAGATTTTTATTTTCACTCTTTTTTTTCTATTTTTTATTTTAAGAAAAAAATCCTGAGTTTTTTTTTAAATTCCTTTTCTGGGGTTTTGGGGGGATTATGTGATTTTCTTTGTGCATGGAATGTGTTCGTGTGACACTGTATGAACAGTAACTCACGCATGGTTGATGCGATCAGGATGCAAATGGAGGTGCAGAGGAGACTGCATGAACAGCTTGAGGTAAAAGAAAAGGAAAAATAAATAATATATTTTCTTTTTATCATAAAAAATAATTTACTTACTTTAAAAAAAGCCACTAGCTTGAATTTCTGTCCCAGAAAAAGGACAATTCTTCAATTCTCTTCACATGTTTGGAATAAAATTTGATTCTCTTTCAGCTCAGCAAAAGGAACAAAATGAATAAAAAGAATTAGAATTAAATTATATATAATCCTCCTTTCATCCCTGAATATAATTGTCAATACTGGACTGAAAAACTTGTTTGTGTCTAAATAATTTTTTGTTATTTTCAAATCTGCCCATAATTTAATACTCTTTCGTGATAGTAAAACAATTTATTAAGGGTCGAGGGAAATCATTAAATAGGAGTTTTTTTCGAAAAAAGATTTAAAACAACATACAGTTTGAGCTATGTATTATATATAAAAAGTGATAGAAGCTAAAAATATTATGTATTATATTTAGGGACAAAAGGAGGATTATGTTTTAAGACAACTCAAAATGATTAGCAGTAATTCTTGATTGAAATTTTCTATCCTCATGCCATTTAAAGAGAGAATGAAATCAAACAATATAATTATGTATATAATTTTTTTTATTTTATTTACATGGTTCCTATTTTTACTTTCTTTCCATCTTTCTGCAAATATATTTCATGCAATCTCTTTTTTGACCACAAAGAATCTAGATTCAATCATTTTCAAAAATTAAAATATATATGGTCAATTATTTGTTTCTTTAAACCTCCCAACACCTCCTACAAATTCATATGGCAGGTCCAAAAACATCTTCAGCTAAGAATTGAAGCTCAAGGAAAGTACATGCAGAGCATATTGGAGAAGGCTTATCAAACACTTGCAGGTGAAAACATGGCTGCCACCAATAACTTAAAGGGAAATATCAGTATTGGAGCAGCTCAAGCCATGCCTGAAATAGGGGCTGGAGGAGTCAGAAAAGATTTTAGTTCAACTCTTAATTTTCCCTTTCAAGAACTCAACATCTACGGTGGCGGTAGCGTTGGTAGTGACCAACTTGATCATCATCTTCACCATATGGAGAGGCCACAGCTCGAGGGGTTGATGATACCAAATAACAATAACAATAACAACAATGAAAATTTGAGTCTGGGCAAGAAGAGGCCAAATCCTTATAACAGTACTGCTACAGGGAAGAGTCCATTGATTTGGAATGATGATCTTCGGCTTCATCAAGATATAGGGACTGCTTCATCATGCCTCGGAGGACCTCAAGATGATCCTTTCAAAGGTTTTGATCAGCAACTTCATATCGCACCACCATCGTTGGATCATAGAGCAGGTGAAATGGATCCTACCATGTCAGAAATTTATGACACAAAGCCTGTGCTACAAGGAGAAGCTGTGTGTGATAAGTTTTCAGAGGCTTCAGTGAAGCTTGAAAGGCCATCGCCAAAAAGGACAGCAACCACCACTCCTCTTCAAGGAGAAAGGATGAGTCCCATGATTAATAGTGGTACTATGGCACAAGGAAGAAGCTCACCATTTGGGTGAATTAACCAAGTTTCAAATCATTATTTCTTGTATAATTGACTTGTTATGAACACAAGATCTCGGCTTTTGAACTAGATGTTGAAATTAGTACTTACTATCTGATTTAGGGTTATTTCCTGCGGACTAATTAATATTATTATTATGGCATAATATATATGCCTTTGCATCGCAAACCAAAAAGTCGTCATCATCATATTTTGATATAATTGTGAATTTATACTTTAATGTTTTGAGGATTGTCTGTGCATGTATCCTAGAGATTTGATTGCTAATTTTTTTTTGTCATGAACTTATAATAATTTAATTAGTTATTTGACACGCTAAGTTAACTCATGCATATGTTATGAAATGGATGAGCAAATGTAGAAGCAGACAAACTTGTTTTCTTTATATGGCATATTGATGGCTTTCTCTTTATAGCTTTCTTTGGACCCACTTTTGAAACATTCCCTGCGTCATCATTAAGCAGTGTGTAGCAGATTTTTCATTTTCCCCGTAGAACTAGAATCATATATTTGTAGGAGAGAAAGGCAATAAGAGTCAAGAGTAGAAGGAGATCAAGAGAGACAATTCAATCAAAAAGAGAAGATAATTACGCTGGATTTTGGTTTATTAGTGGAAGCAAAAAGTACTCTTATCTATTTCCTGCAAATTAGGCACGTTCTTTATGAAATCTTTCATCTCAAAATGAATTATTTGCTTTTGCCTGACCTGGAAAATGAATTAATTATAATATCCACATATATATATCAGTGAATCTGAACATTATGAAAATGTAATATGAGAATTTTATAGAGAAAATAGAAAAAGCAAAGAAAGAAATAAGTTAATGATATGTTTGTTGATCTGCTTTTCCTATGATGTCCACTTGGATTTCCGCCCGGTCACTTGATGATAATGCACCACTTAGTAACTTTCATAACAGTTAATGAGTTGATTATTAGTTTAGTTAGTTGGTCCGAGTTAGTTACCCAATGATTGCAGACAAATCTCTTGGGAAAACAAATAAAAAGAAAAGGGGAAAAAACCATGATGATGACGATGAAGATGATGTTGCAGATGATTTCTTTTTCTTTTCTTTATCAAATTATAAAGACATATAGATCAGGGCCTCCAAGTGTGTACTCTTGGGGAAAGACAGACCAGTGAAGAAGGATAAAAGATGATATCAGTGTGTGTGTGTGTGTGTGTGTGAGAGAGAGAGAGAGAGGAATCAAATTTGAAATGTTTAAAATGATTATTGCATTGTTCTTTTTAGTGATGATGAAGAAGGAACAGTGAGAGAGACCATCCTTTTTCCTTTGAAGGATCCTAAGAAGTGAGCCATGCTTTGAAGCCGACACGACATATCCGTCTTTCACTCCCTTCTCTTCCTCAATATTCACAGTATTTAATTACTCAGCAGCATTATTATTTCTTACTTACTTTCTATAGCCATGATGATTAATTTCCATTCTAACGATGTAAGAAAAGTACCAACACAGGCCAAGATTAATTTTCACACTCGTACAATAGATAAGTTTAAGGTTTTAGCCATAAAGTTCACCCATATGAAAGTTGTGTCTATACATATCATCAAGAGATAGATAGAGGTATAAAAAGATTGTAAGTACTTTTGCATGAAAACGAAAGAAATTTAAAAATAAATAAATAAAAGACGAGAGACAATTCTTTATGGTATTAGTACTTTAGATAAATTGTAGTAATCTTTGGATACATCAGCTTCGTAGATTTAGATTTAGATTTATGAAGACCCTACACGTAGCTAGCCCTGCCTTGTGCTTTATATACATATATTATAAATGAAGATGAACAAACACATGCAGAGGGCAAGATCGCTTTCTTTCTCCAGGTTTTCTTTTCTCTGTGGTGATAATATGTGAGATTTCATCGTGAAGCTTCTCTCTCTTTGCTAAAAGAAGGGCGGTACCCCAACTTTATTGGTTGCAGAGAAATTTTTAGGGCTCTGCAAGTTGGCAAGAAAGCTCTCAGAGAGAGAGAGAGAGAGAGAAGGAAAAGGGAAGTACAAAAAAGAAAGTTTAAAGGAGGGAGAGGGAAGAATACAACGCACTGCTATTCTGTATGTGCTTTGAAGATATCGAGGAAGCTTCTATCTCTCTGTGCACAAAGTGAATAGTCTCTCACATTTAAAGCTGAACGATGATGATGCCTCCATCTCCAAATGTTGCCTCCATGCCACCCACCACCTTTTGTTTTCATTTATATATATCGATTTGGTTTGAACTAAATATATAATCATTTAGACTTTCTAAATCATCATATATATATATATATATATTTCTATGCTTCTGTTCTGTCTGTGAATGTGATCCCAGTACCACATTTTTAACCTTAATATTGTCATGCATGTTCGTGGACCGAGCATGCAATATAGTAATAATAAATTACATTTCAGATTACGTATTGCATCATCATCAATAAACGTCATCACTTCTTTCTTAATGTGATGCTGGTTGTTCAGATTGTTCCATGTCCATTTTTCTACTGAGCACTTTTAACTGATTTACTCAGTTTCTTAGTCGTGTGATTCTAATTTCTCTACCGTGCGTGGGTAATTGATTCCCTATCACTAATGACTAATATAACGATTTTTTGGAACATATTATTAAGGTTTTAAGTAGCAGTAGTCTATCGATCCCCAGTATGAGAGCCTTGCCAATTGACACTTTCCATAAAAAAGAATGAAGTTCAGATATTCCGAAGAAAATGCAAAATAGTGGGAGCCCCATATTGATAAGGACTTGATATAAATAGAGAAACAGAGATTGTGGCTAAGTTAGTAAAAGAAGGGAAGGACCTTTGTGTGAAGTGACTTGTGATTAACTATCTCATCAATCACAGCTTTGAAGAAGATGAAGAAGAAGAAGAGTAGTACAGAAGCTTCTTTTGTGCCCACTTTCCTTTTCCTTTCCCTTTCCCTTTGGCTCTCTCACTCACTCGATCATCTCCTTGATTTCAGTTTTTCTCGTCATAAACACCCAAAAAAAAAATGTCCTTTCTTTTTCTGCTCTTTCATTCTGTGCACAAGCTAACTAAATTAACACAGAAGAACAAGTCACGCAATTGATTTTTTTTTTTGGAAATAAAAATGATATGTAACATTCAATCACTTAAATTTTTATTCTCTTAACATCTTTTTATAGGAAGTTGTGTTCTTTGGCAACGTAGTGCATGTGCTTCCTTTATAACAATTTGTTTTGGATTTACTCTTGTCTTTAGAAATACTTCCAAGTTGTTGGCCAATACGAGGAGTCCAACATTATTTATTTAAAATAAAAGCGATATGTTGGTTTTTGATTGGTTATTATATATACATTTTATGATTTGGGGCAAAAGCAAAAGCAAAAGCGACAATAAACCGCTTTTGATTGAGAAGGACTATTGAAGGTTTGCCTTCATTATCTGATAAACCTTTCGTCTTTATTATTTTTTATTTTTATTTTATTTTCTTTTTCTAAGGATCTTCTTTCGGTCAAGTTAGTTGGCTTTTCATTTTTCTTTTGATTTTCATTAAAACATCCTTAGTTAACTTCAATATAAATAAATTTTATCTAAACTAAAAAAAATAAAGGAAGGAAATTCCGGTCAAAATATTCAAAATTTGACTGAACAGAATACATTTTAAAATTTTTTTGAAATAAAAATTTGATAAATTTAATAAAATATATAAAATCTCCTACCAAAAATAGGTGTTCGTAATTTCGCATATAGAATTGAACAAATTCTCGGGTAAATTTTCATAATTTTTGGATCAAGTACACGAAGCCCAACAAGAATGAGCTTTCAAAAAAAAAGGATTACGACATGGGTAGTCATGGGCCGTTTCTTCTGTTTCAACCTTGGCCCAATTTACTTGCGGCCCATTACGCCGCGCGGCGGCGCCCTGCCCCCACGCAGACACAGAATTATTAGTAATTTTTCTTTACATTATTAATATCAATGAATTAATTATCAATTAACCCAATTATATCTGGGGCCACTGGGCTTGGCTCAGTCTCGGCCCATGAAACAATTCAATACTTGATGCATGTTTTGATTTATTATAATTATAGGAAAAGTATAATTCAGTCCTTGCACTTTCTAGGAAAAATCTTTAAAAAAATATCTCTCGACTTTCAGAATTCTATATTAATCTTATTTACTACACTTAGCAATTGATTACATTTGAAAAGCAAATGACAACAATTCCTAGCTAGAGATTTTGAAATTCAAGAGTTTTTTTTTTTTGGAATTTTTCCTGCTTTCTATTTCTATTTGTTATTGATTCAGTTCCTAAATTTGGACTTGGAACAACTCATTCTATACAATTGATAGAGTTAATAAATTATAGGGCCTAAATAATTTTGAGTCAAAAAACTATAAGAACTAAATTGTTCTTAGTCAAAATTTTGGAGACTGAATTAATAATTGGAAAAAAGTTCAAGAACCAAAAATTACATTAACTGAATTTTCTAGATGCGTGCATGGCAGAGCATTAAACATAATGTTAGTGTTTAACGCTTATGGATAAAATGACTCGCCATATAAATATATATATATATATATATTCCAACTACTAGATTATAAATTGATGAATGATATTAGTGATTTTAAGAGACCAATGAAAAGTTATTAACGACAAAAAATATCATCGTAATCCAGTTGAGAGGCTTTTACCTATTATCCCAATTGTCCCCAAAAAAAAATCTTGGCTGGTGGTAGAATCATCAAGGGGGAAAAATATATAATGTTACCATAACCTTGGAGTAAGATTTCCATGTTTTTTAATATGATTTCACCATTCTTTTTTGTTTTTTTTAATACCAAAGATTCCAGTATTGGCAAGTAGGCTTTGGTCAAACACTTTAGCTTATATTGTTCTATATTCCAAGATCTGAGATTTCACTTTCCCTCATTCCAACAACTTTTGTTGTTATGCATTTATCGCTTTAAAGGTTCATCCACCTGCTTAAAATAAAATTGCCCATAACATATATAAATTAAAATTCCATGCATTATATATTCATTTTATACTTTCTCTTAAAGCACATACAATTAGATACATTAAGTTATGGCAAGGAATTTATGTTATAAAACTTTACTTTTCAGTTTATCATTTGAGCTTGACTTCTTGGGATGTGAAAGAATATAATGTACTACTCAATACTCAAGCCTAATAGCTAGCAATTCAGTCTTACAAATCATCTTGGGAACTTCTCACTTAAGATCCAACATGTAGCTCTCAAATCGATAGTGTAATTTATTCCATGCAATGTTCCTGCTTTTCAATTTGTCCACATTGAGCTTTATTCTTGGTGTCTGTAATTTTTACGTCAAATTGGTCCTTATTCACCAGTTCCATTAAATTTGGTTTCTCATCCTATCGATGTTTAGCCTTTTTAATTATTTTCTCTTTTCTTTTTTTTTAAAATTTTTATATAATTATAGTTCATGCAAAATGTCATAAACAAGTGCATTAAATTAATACTACCTCCGGTTCTAATTATAAGATATCATTTGTAGATTACAAATAAGTTCTTATAATTAGGACCAGATGTAGTATCTTATATTTAGGATAAATATAACTTCTCAACTAGTTCATATGTTAAGAAGTAATGGAAGTAGTGTTATCTTTAGAAACGAACTCAGTAATTCACTCTCAAAATAGAATTAGGGGGACCAAAAAAACTATCTTCCATCTCACCAAATGCATTGTCTACGTTCAGAAAAATAACAATATAGAGAGATATAGAGAGGGAAAAAATGTGAAGAGAGAAAGTGATTCAAATTCGACTCTTTTTTTTCCCTCTCTATCTCTCTCTCTCGCTCTGCCACTACATATCTGGTATTTACTCAGGAAACAGCAAAAAATTGGAGAGATAGATTTATGATGTTATGGAGAGTTTGATGAATTGGGGAATACATCAGCAGGTGGAATGAAATGATCCATTGAGAGTCCAGGGACATTGAACATAATATCATCAATGGTCCAATGTTCTTCCATTCTGGTTCTACTATGCTGCATCGACATTTCCTCGAACCGGAACACCGTCGCGATGGACCGCCCTTGATGAGCGATCATCACGCCGTCGACGTCTCTGTAGTCGCCGATGCTGCTGCCAATGGTGGTCTCCCAGTACACTGGATCACTATCTAGGGTTTCATCCATTTGAACCCTTGTAAGATGAGAGTCCTCTAGGTATATCAGGAGGCCACTCTTTTGACAAAAATACCCATACAATATGTGCCTTATTACCTCGGCGTGCCCCTCACTCCTTTCAGTCACAGCCGCACGATCTGCCCATGCCTTTAATACAAAGCATCCAACGTCCCCGATTTTGCTCTCGCCTAAGCATTGTGCATTGGCGAATAAACTTGCTGTACTCTTTGGATCCAAACCCTGGAATAAAATTTTCTCAAGTCAGTCCCATGTTTATATTTTAACAATAAAGTATTTAATTCTTAGATTTGATTTATTGCATGTGTTCTATCTATACAAAATCTAATTATTTGGAGAATGTTAAATCAATCCAACTTCTTCTGTGAGTGTGTGCGGCTTGCTCTCTTAAACTTTGTGCCGTTCAAAACCATGTCAAGTTATAAACAAAAAAAGTTGAATTAATAGTGTAATATTGAACAAAATGACTTTTTTCCCCAACTTGAATCCTTTTCTACAGAGGAGATTCAATTGAATTGAACAAATGAGGAAGAATTAGATGGGACATAGTGAGACCCCATATGGATGAACCTATAACACACTTATATCTTTCTTTTTTAAAGAAATTATCTTGGGTATTATGAGAGGGGATAACCTTCTCTCGGAGATTTTCATGTTCAAGAAGGAAAATAAAGCACCAACAAAAAGGAGGGAAACCAGTCAAGAAAGGAGGGGCAATAATGCAGAAATAGATAGAGGGGTAATATTCGTTAAAGTGAAAAGGGGAAAAAGTAAAAGCAAAAGGACAAGAACCATAATGAAGAGTACCCATATATAGGTACCTGTGTTACGGTGGCAATCCCTAGACCATTATGCATAAACAAACAATCTAAGATGATGTCAGATAGACAGTCACATGGCATTATTGAGATCCTTAAGCATTAGAATGAGTATAAAACAGTTGCTATGTAGGGTAAAGCACGCGACAGTTTGTCCATAATGATCACTTTGTCAGGGATACCCCTTCCTCGTTTGATTATTGAGGTTTCATTATTTTGTTATTACTCTCATCAATCTTTATCTTTGTTTTGTAAAACCTAAAAAGTGGTTGGAAACTATTGGGATTGTCCCCCACAAGCCTCAAATTCTGACAAAGACCCCCTCCCCACTTATCAAAGGACTCACAAATAAAGAAAAAACAAAAGTGTATGGCAAATTAACAAAAGTATAACATTTGTGTTCAAACTCTGTTTGCCTCCAAACAATATATAGCTGAAACTAGAAGGCTCTTAATTTTTCTGTATTGTCTGGCATAGTGACATATATATCATTGTGGAATAATCATCTAAAAAGCATACTTGTCGTTGAAAATTCGTCATAATGGAATGCCAAAGTAGTACGATATCATGATTTGTTCAATGATATATTATTTTTTTCCATTATAGTTTATCCTGAGCAGCAAAAAATTTAATCAATAACATGTTGAACTGGCACTAGCAAGAATTTTCATTACCTGAATGATGCGTCGGAGCGGTCGTTGAGGGCCTCGGGCAGCGTTGGTGCCGAGCCACGGAGTGTGCCGCCACACGGCCTTGCCGTTGCTACCGGCAACCACCTTGTGGCCACCGACGACCAGTTCCAGCGACCACATTCCGGGAAGCATCTGCCACAGAACGAAGCGGCCATTGTCGCTGCTTTTTGTCCCCAAGCACTTGACATTCTTCCCCGTCGAAATCTCCGTTTCACAGCACACCATCTTCACCGTTCCTGTGGCATACATATTCTTCATCTCCTTCTCCTGCTGTTTCAGGCACCCGGTCGCCGCCAAATACTGTTGTATAATGTACTTGGCCGTTGAGTTCTCCTGTTTGAGAATATTATATCATCTTAGAATTAACCAACAGGAAAAAAAGAGATGAAAATGTGATACGAAGAAAGATCTTACGAATGGGATATCTTTGATGTGAAAGGAGCGTGCAGGATCGTGGGTCAAGGGGATTGGAGCTAAGGGGCAAGCTAGGACACCGAGGAGGAGCCTCAAGTCTTGAGTTTTGGCTTGAATTGTTCCATAGAATGAATGTGAGGAAGAGAAAGTGGGTCCTGTAGGAGAAACTTTCTGAGCTCTGAACCATTCTCTTATGGCTTCCCATGAGCTCTCCTTTTTGGGGCCTTCTTCTTGCATCCCAGGGTCGGGACCTTCCATTAATGGCGTCAATGGCTGTGGAGCCCAAGTCTGGCGCCACCGCGCTGATCTCGAACCCATTTGTGGCCAAGTCCAGGAATTGCTAAGAAGAGGAGGAGTGGTTTGTGCAGATGAAGATGACGACGAAGTAAGAAGAAACCAAGAGATTTAGAGAGAGAGTGAACAGACCTGTGCCGGTCGCCTTCGTTGACCATTATAATATGTGTTCGGAACATGTGCTTGGGGTCTTATGAATCCTAAGTGCGTGTAAGCCCAAGAATCTTTGTAGATCCAAGGCACTTTGGTCCACTTTGCTAAGACCCATCCTCCTAGCTAGCAACTAAATGTAAGACTTTGTTTGGACCATCAAGGACTACGTGCGACTTTACGTGCGATTCAACACACTATTCATTTTACCAAAAAAAAAAAAAAAAGAAGACACACACGCAAGGAGTCCTCAGAAGGTAGCTAGCTTGATTCACCTCTTTGGCTGGTCAACATCAATATAAGTGTTAAGCACGCAATAGCTAATTAAATGGATCTAAATACGACTACTATGTAACATTATTATCAATATTAAGAATCATTTACGCAAATAACAACAGATAATATTGCATAACATGAAAATTTCAAAATACTTGAAATGCAGGCTGAGAATTAAAAAAGCATTAAAAATAATAATATACACAAATAATTAACAACAATTGCACTGTAAAAATACAGATATAATTGATTTCAATAAGAATCAGCATTTCGACCATTCAGAGAATAATTTTGACTATTCATCCTCATTCATGAATCCAATCATCAATGCAATTAATCTAATTAGTATAGATACATAATTCGTAATATCTAAAAATGTACTATTTTACTCATTTTTTACTTTTCCTTTTACGCCTTTTTCTTTTTTAACCTTGCCCCTTACCTTTCTCGAAATCCTTGGAGATCCCAAAATACCAATCATTACATACAATGCTCATATATAAAGTTAACATAAACCTTCTTGACAATAATGAGATTAGCACTTGACAAATTTCTCATCAAACTCACTTGAAGAATGGCGGATTTAAGCTCCACACCTCTTCTTTTCAAACCAAAATCTTCCTATGACTCCGAGCCTGAGAACCACCTTCCATCTTTGGGCTCGACAACCGAACACTGTTTAGAAGAATTCACTCTTTCCCAATTCCTCCAAGCACTTCTCGTCTCCTTCGCTTGGATCTTTGATGCCCAACAAACTTTCATCACTGTCTTCACCAACGCCCAACCAACACCGTCCTCCCCGCCAGCCACCGCGGCTCATACTCCCCCATCATCTCGGAGTGGAACTTAAATCCCGATGACCCCATACTTACAGGGCTCCTGGCCTCCTCCTTCTTCATCGGCTGCCTTGTCGGTGGGCTTGCCCTATCAACACTCGCTGATACGTCCCTGGGCCGCAAGAGCATACTCTTCTATTCGTGTCTCTCGATGTCTTTCTCTTCATTCTTCGCAGCCTTTTCTCCGAACCTTTGGGTTTATTCTTGTCTCAATTTTCTCTCTGGTTTCGGCAGGGCCACCATATGTACCTCCTCCCTCGTCCTCGCCACTGAGTTCGTCGGAAAGCAGTGGCGTGGCCAGGTGGGTGTCATTGGATACTTCTGCTTCTTCTTCGGCTTCCTCTCACTCCCTGCGATTGCTTACTTAAACCGAAACTCCTCGTGGAGAAACCTCCACATATACTCATCCATTCCGACAATATTGTATTGCGTATTGGTAAAATTCTTTGTACGCGAGTCTCCTAGGTGGCTCCTCGTACGAGGAAGAAAAGAGGAAGCTGTCAATACACTACGATGCATCACACCATTGTCTCAAAACTCATTGGATTTAGCCGTCTCTAAAATGTCTCACCCTGAAGAAAGTTGGAACAGTAATATGAATATAAACTCGGAGCTGACGGTTTTGATGCAGAAGCAATGGGCTTCAAGGAGAATCTTAGCCATCATGTCATTGGGTTTTGGTATTGGCTTGGTTTATTTCGCTATGCCACTGGGTCTCGAAACGTTGTCGTCTAATCTGTATTTTAGCGTCACATTTAACGCATTATTAGCTGAGCTACCATCGTCGCTCTTAACCTTCATACTCAACGACAAATTCAATAGAAGAAGCGCTCTCTGGGTTTTTACAATCATAAGTGGGATTTTCAGCGTATTATCAGTTATGGAGTTAGGAAAGACATGGGAGAAGCTGCAGCTTGGATTTGAGTTGGTGTCGTTTTTCAACTCGTGTAATGCAGTGAATATGTATCTGTTATATACGACGGAGTTGTTTCCGACGTGTGTACGGAACTCGGCGTTGGCGATAGCGAGGCAGGCGACGGTGCTGGTGGGTGGGGCGGTTAGTCCGGTCCTTGTGGCGACTGGAAGGAGGCAGAAGTTTTGGTGCTGTGGGGTGATTCGTGATAAGGCTGAGTGTTGTGTTTGTAGTGTTCTTGCCCGAGACTAAAGGGAAAGCACTGTGTGATACAATGGAGGAGGAAGAAGAAGAAGAACAGAGAATCAGCTCTGGCATATATATTAGCTCAACTGCTGACTAAGTGTCGTTATTTATTGACCTATGATATATTGGGGGTATTTTTTGCCAGACATTATCTTGGTTTTTGGCATGTTGGAATTGTAATTTGTGTGTGTGTTCCGGCATACCAAGATCCTTAGAGATGCTGGCCCAAAAAAAATTCTTGGAGACTCCTATATATATGCACAATAAAGTGCTTAAGTGATGGGCATAAAATCTGAAACATTCAAATTAAAATTCAACACTCAAATTTAAGGAATGTTTAGATGAAAATCAGAACATAATTTGAAAAGTAATTTTATCATATGTAAGAACAGTTTTTGTCTCAATTTGCTTGATTTTAAAACTGTTTTTTTGTTAACCCAAACACTAACATACTTTGATTTTCTTTTTTATATTTTTTATAATCTAATATTTTAATTTGCACAGAATCTAAAACAAATATTATCTCTTAACCATCAGTTTTTTAAAAAAATTGATGAATACCTTAATTGGCATCCTTGTGATGAGCAAAACCCGTCCCTAGAAGTAACATTAGGACGATATACGTCGCGGCCCATTCTCGATATTTCTCAGAAGCACATGTGCCCGCTCCCAGCTGTCAAGAACCTGACGAGTTCGTCGCTTTGACTCATAATTAAAAGTAAATAATTTTTTAATGAAATAAAATCATATCAATCAACTAAAGTAAATTATAAAAATACGACATCTTTCCTTTTAAACTCAATTTAATTGATAAAAAGTAGAATAACATGGTAGAACATAGATTTACCAAGACTTAGTTTCCAAATCCCCTTAGTTATATCTTGCAATTTCCCCATTCCATTCTTCCAGACCCCCCTCCCCATCACCATCGGTTATAGTTACACCTATCTCCATCTCATCACCACCCTTTTCCATCATATCTGATCAATTCCTTTCCTCCGTTCTCTCCTTCCATCATCCTCTTCATCACCTCTAGAGTTCGAAGTGACCAATATGCCTAAGAGATCCCTGAGTCTCAGCGCAACATTGTTCTCCCCCATGTGCAGCTAGGCATTCAATTCCTTGATGATTTGATGAAGATATTCTAAGTTCCCCGTGCCTAATGGGAGTTTAAGTGTTCCTAATTTCAGCATCCACTCTTTATATATGTAGATATGTAGATGAGGATTATTACCGGTATGTATGCAATCTGAATATTGATACTCGTGTTAGATGTTGAAATTTTTGGATTGTTGATTGACGTATAGCACTATCTTTGATTTGCGCTATTTTGATTAGCACTCCTCTCTTGATTGAATGCCTAGGTCTCTATAGGTTTGGTTAAGAATACGAGATAAGCACTCTAGGCATCTCGAATAAACTAAAGGAATCTAGATTTCTAGGTGAATTTAGGTAGTTATTGGTGTTAGCTAGGGGAAGGTGCCTTCACTAGCTATATTGCTTAGTTAGGTAATTGAACTCAACACAAGTGTAACTACGAATATTAGTTATCATCAAGGAGGTCTTTTATCAGCCATTCCATTCTCACAAAATTGAAAAACCATAAAATTATATTAGCTTAGTCTAGATTAGCTGCTTTATCTCATCACACCTCATTCAGTTAATTTATATCATTCGGTTAATTTGTAATTATCACACTACAAAAAAACATGCTTTTAGCGACGGAATTTAGAGACGGAATTTTTTATTTAGCCACGGAATTAGCAACGGAAACGAATTAGCGACGGAACAAACTCCGTCGCTAATTCCGTTGCTAATCAGCTGTTTTTTTTGTAGTGTCACTTAGTTAGTTAAGAACTTAATAATTAGTTCCACATAAGAGATCGACCTAGGTTAGTGCCATTGTAATACATTTAGTCTAGTTTTATTTGATAGTCCCCATGACATGGCTTGTCAAATCCTAATCAACCATTCACGTTAGCCAATAGGACCAAACAAGCAAAATTAACACCATTAAACTCAAAACAAATACTTAAACTGTACAAACCAACATTTTGAAGAGCTCAAAGTATACAAACCAAAATAAGTATACTGACACTAAAATCAGAACTCATCATGAAAAATGTTAGGACCTAGCTAAAGTGAGTTTAACCCTCAAAATTAATTATCAAGTTCGAGTTATGAGTAACGTTTTGTTTTTAAAACTAAAGAGACAAACACTAACAGTCAAAATTCAACCCGACTTTCTGTTTACAGGAGAATTTGCATACTGTTGGGTTATAAAACCATCCACTCAGTAAGTGTAAAAGTTTGTTGAAAGTGTTTTACTTTTGTTTGTTAGTTCTTTTAATTTCCTTTCATGTTTTTTGTCTGGATCAAATTCATTTGATTTTCTAAAATTAGTTTTGATTCCTAATCTAATTTCTGGTGCTGCCTCAACTATGGCTGAATTTTACTCCAATTGGACTCAACTATGAAAATATATGCATATATATAATTTTTTTTTTACTCATCAACAGTGGAAGGACCGATGCTTTAATTATCACATAAAGGCATATATAAACAAACCTTGCTCACGCTCCCCAGATCATATTAGAACTCAAGTTCATCATATCAAACTCAGTTCTGGACGATGCAGGCTGATTCGCATTCCACGCCTCTTCTCTCCCAATCCAAATCCACTGATGAATCCAAATTTTC